CATCCTTTGAAGCAGCCTTAGCAATTAGTTGGGTTGAATACTTGGTAACGATCACTTTTCTGACTATACCAAGCTGCCCGACTGAGGTGTTCTCAACAAGCAAACCCAAATCAGTAGCTTGGAACTCAGCACCTACAGTTTAGAAAATGAAACAAACGCTTAAAACCATGGAGTAATGTTCCAATAAATATAAGAAAATCTCCACAATAATTTATATACCAGTCAGAATGGCAATATGTTGAAGGAGAGCTTTTCTACTTTCACCAAAACCAGGAGCTTTAATGGCCGCAACATTGAGGATTCCCCGCAGCTTGTTCGCCACAAGTGTCACCAGAGCCTCACCAGTTACATCCTCAGCAATTATAAGCAAAGGAGATCTTAATTGAGAAGTCTTCTCCAACAGGGGAATTATGTCTTTTATAGCTGAAATCTTCTGATCAGTTATTAACACTCTTGCATTCTCAAATTCACAAATTAATTTCTCAGGATTTGTTACAAATTGTGGTGAGATGTAACCTCTCTCAATCTGCAAGTAGACAGAAAAAGAAACAAAGATAATTGGAATAACAACCAGACTGTAACTGCCACCAAAAACATCCAGGTTACTTCTACAAAGTGTTTGAAACCTGAAGCAAGACATACCTCCATTCCTTCCTCAACATCAACTGTGATCTCAAATGAGCATGATAACTCAATTAACAAAACACCATCAGGCCCAACTTTGTTAATGGCATCGGCAATCATTGTTCCAATAAGGTCATCATTTCCAGCAGAAATGGAAGCCACAGCTGAAAAGTAAAAGTATGACTAATGCAATAAAACAAATAAGAAAGGGGAGCTTGCTTGCTAGTGGCAGATAAGTTTGGTGTGGAAATACAATCTATTTTTCTGCGGCATACCTTTGATATCATCACCGCCTTTAACAGGCCGGGCCTTCTTCTCCAGTTATTCTACCAACCCTTGTACAGTTTTATCAATACCCCTCTTTACCGAGACTGGATTTGCACCAGAGGTTATACTCAGAAGTCCTAGTTTGATTATTTCCCGTGCAAGTACAGATGCTGTTGTTGTCCCATCACCTGCAGAGTCATTAGTTTTACTTGCAACCTTCATCCCACAGCCAAAGAATAAACAAAAAATGTCAGCGCCAATGATCATGTCAAGGTGAGATTAAATGCTTGTCAACACATATGATCAGGAGAACAAACACTAAAAAGATTAAGGGCCAAGCTCTCTAATAAGAGCTGCACCAGCATTTTCCATGGCATTAGGAAGCTAAATAGCTCTGGCTATTGTCACTCCATCATTGACTTACTTTGGACTTCTAAATTCATCCAAGACAACATTCCTCCCTTCAAAATAGCAAACATGTTGCAGTTAACATAATTGAGAGTTGAGACTAGCCATCACAATAAGTAAAAACAAGCATTTAAGTTGAAATAAAAAATAAAAAAAACCAAACACACGAAAAGGTTTTTTTTTTTTCAAACATTTAGGAAACAACTTGCAATATTTCTAACTTCTGCGTCTTCCTATCCTACCTCTTGCTCTCTTTATATAACCGTTTTCGATAGAAAATTGTCATTAAAACATATTGTATCAATTCAGAAAACAGGTCATGCTTAAAGATGCATGACAGAGTTGTAAAGCTACGAGCAGATACAGATAATAACACAATTAGTCAAAGGCATACAAATACATAGAAGATTATGACATATGAACCTCATATTTTCTAAAACATGCAAATCAAAGCAATTCCCACCTTTCATTCCCCTTGAATCAGCTTTCTTCTTTCTTCCTTCACCAAAAAAAAGAATAGGCTCAAGATAAAATTTTCATACATTAAAACATGAATGAATACAAATATACAATCAAGTATAAGAACAATGGGTAATAATGGAAATAGAAGTTACCCCTAGGATCAAGAGTAAGGCCAACAGCATCAGCAAGTTTATCAATGCCAGCCTGCATTGCAGCCCTTTAGCTTTAATCAAAAGCAATTTCCTTTGCACAAGCTTTCACAGCAAATCGGCTGTTTCCATGCCTATAGTTTAGCCTTTGGTTCTTCTGCTGATTTCCCCTCCTCCTCAAACTCCCCTGCAATCATAAACACCCATTAAAAACTCTAGAAACACCAAACTTTCATCATTTCTTCCGTTAAAGAACAATAAAAAAGGAAAAAAAATTCAAGGTAACATAAGGTGGTACCATGTGTAGCTCAAAAGACAGTGCTTTTGCAACTAACAAAAGGGAAAATGAAATGAACCCATTACAGAAAATTACCTGTTTGAAAAAGCAAAGAACAGAAGCTGAAGAAAGAGCATTAGCAGATGCCATTTCCCTTTGATAACCCAAACTAACAAAAAATAATGCTTTCTTTTCGTTGTTGGTTTTGTGGCAGAGTGGATAAGGAGGCAGGTAGGAAAGTAAGAACCAGGGCGTCTGATAGACTTTTAGTGAGAGTGAACGTTCTTCCACATCGTAGAAACCTCAGTCTATGTCTTGTTTTTGTTTGATTCCGCTCGAAACAGATCCTTCCGTCCACGAGTTCATAATCAAATCGAGTGGATACAATAATAAATTCTGACTTTGAGTTTAATTTAAAATTTATTACTTGAAATTTAATTTAAATTTATTTTAATTTTTAATTTCGAACTCAATTCAATATAAAAATTAAATTATTTTAATTTATTTGATTAAAATTATTTAATAAAAATAAGTTTAATTTTATACTTAAATTCGAATTAATAAAAATAAATTTAATTTTATACTTAAATTATTTAAACTCAAATTTAAATTCGAATTAATATACATGAGAGTAAAATAATAATTTTTAATTAAAATAATAAAAATTTATTAAAATTTAAAAATTTAATTAAATTATTAAGATACACGAACCAAATATTAATATATTCAAATTCAATTTATCTCAATAAGTAAAATTATTTGAGTTTAAATTTGATTCGATAATAATTAAATTAAATTTAAATTTTATCTAAAATAAATCAAAATGACTTGTAACTGTTGATATATTATTTATGCCCTTACTTAAATATGATATTAATTATAATATATAATTTTCATATAAAATATGATATAAATATATAAATTTTATATTTGATATAATTTAAATATATGATCATCGGATTTACAAAATACAAATGAATTATAATGTTTGATTCGCTAACAATCTTTTGATTGAATGATTAAAAGAGAAGTCGTGATATATTATAAGTGTGAATTTCAAATAGTTTCAACTTTTATCTCTTAACATAAAAGGAAATTTGTTAGATTATGATTAGACATTGGTTCATTAATTAAAGTGGAAACTATAGTTTTAATTGAATTTAATTTTTTATTTAAATAATTTCAGTGTAAGTGAAGCTCTTAATTCTAAAAATAAAATTAATAAGATGATATATATTTTAAAATATATTAAAAAATAAAAAAATTTACATGCGTGACTGATATAAATCAATTATTAAATTTAACAATTGATTTATAAAAATATCAATTCTATATGAAATTATAAAAAAATTATTTTATATTTATATAATTTAATCCTTCCATTATTATCATTCTTGGAGAAAATTTTCTAATTAGTATAGGAGATAGTGTTTAACACAAACATCAATTTAGTTTACTTCTTATAATTTCCCCTTCCAGATATATAAAAGATGCATGGCTTAATTTTAGTTAATCATGTAACAACTTTGAGCCCTCTTCATTGATTGCTTGATTTTCTTTAATGTCTCTAGTTAACCATTTAAATTTATTTAATCATTTTTCATGCTATTTTTTTCTAATATATAATGAAAATAAATTTTATATTATCATCTAAATTTTTTTTTCCTTTTATATGATGACCGAATATTTGTGGCTTTTTTATTCATATGACCATTGGTAAAACTCATGCTCACCGTCGCAAATAAGGTATTACTTAACTTTCTTTTCTAAAAATAACAAATGGCATAATTAGGTTTTTCTTTATTATTATATATATATATATTAATTTTTAATATTTATATATATTTAAAAAATAAAATTATTTCATGCACCACGCAGTTTATAAGTTAGTATATTATAATCATGATTGATATATAAAATTATTAATAAAATATGATAATAATTATCATATATCATATTTAATTTGTATCTAAAAAAAATAATAAAAATCATAAAGAGGATCAATATTTTTTTAGCATAAGATTATTCAATCCTTCTCAAGTAGAGAGGATTATTTTTAATTTATGAAATTAAACTTATAAGTCCAATTATATCCTCAAAAATTATATGAATAATTTAAATTTATAAATTTTAAAAAAAGATATTTTTGATAAATAAATAAATTATTTTATCTTAATTTTTATATACATCAAACATAAAATAAGATAATATTATTTAATAAAATTATATTCATAATATCATTTTATTTTATTATGTCCTAATATCATCAGTATACCAAAGATGGCTATATGCACTTGCTAATTATATTGAATGACAACTAAGCAACATTTATTTTCATGTTTGGCTGAGTATTGGTCTTAAATGTGTTCGTAGGGGATATCAGCTGCAGCCAAGCAAGGGTCTGCTCAGCACAACTCAAAAATTGCCATTTGCTTTCTCACAACATCCATTTTCAGTAACAAAATAATTACCAAATACCTTCCTTATTAGACAGCACATTTTCTTTTATATAATATGTTATATATATATATATATATATATATATTTTATTTATATGTCTGCATGTGGAAGAGAGAGATATCCATGGACTGCTGGGCTTACATCACCATCGGCACGTTACCAAGAAAGAAAGTAGTCAAGGGCTTTGGTGCACATTTGTAAACGAAGCAGCACAAAATTACACAAGACGTCAGTTGAAATTTCCAGTATTCAAACTCAAAGGCCTTTTCTTTCTCTTTCTGATCTCAGAAAACGAAGTCAGGTGTTATTAAATAAACCCTGAAAATCTTATTGAATTCCTTCTGTAATATCCAATGGCCTCGAAGAACATGAGTTTAGAGATGGCTCTGTCAAACGCTTCAACGAGAAAACGGAGGCCCTTTTCCCAAAACAAGCTTGTTACCAGCAGAAAAATCACTAAAGACCGCCATGCAAAGGTTGATGGCAGGGACAGGCGCATCAGGCTGCCGCCTATCTGTGCTGCTAGAATTTTCCAGCTCACTCGAGAACTTGGGTACAAGACGGATGGGGAGACCATAGCATGGCTCTTGCGCCAAGCTGAGCCATCGATCATTGCAGCTACAGGCACTGGCATCGCTTTGCCTAGTTCATCTCCTGTCCTTTCAAACCCCACTAGTTTGGTTCCTTTCTCCTCTGAGCCGCCTTTGCTTTTATCGGATTATTCGCCTTCTTCGAATTCTTGTAAGCCAAAAGTTGTCCCTGACAATCAAGATACGTTGAAGAACTGCGTTGTTTCGAGGGCTGAACCTACTTTGCCACCTTTTGAGTTTGATTTGGTTGCAAACTTTGAGTTGGAGTTCTCTCCCAATGAGATAGCAATGTTGCAATCGGTGACAGGAAGTTATGACAAAGAAGGGAAAGATTGAGAATTTATTAAAAACAGAAGAAGTTGCATGTCATTTCGGATGAATAAATACATTAAACAGAGTCTGATATACATTTCTCCCTCACCGTCTTTGTTGTCCTTTTTTTATTAGGTCAGTTATGCTCGGATTTTAAGTTTTTGTGTACCAATTCAAAGAACTGGATGCAACAATGGCTTCGAATTTTCCTCTAAAAACAATGGCTTCATGAATGGCTATACAAGTTTGTGATAATGAATCAATTTCATCTCTTTTTATTGGAATTTCGGATGGAAGATGTACTTTTCTTACATGTTTAGGAAACTTTAAGAATTTGTTAACCAAGGGTTGCATCAAATCCTTCACAAACGAAAAATTCAAGGCGCCGTCGGTCTTTCTTCTTGTTATTGCTGATGAGTTTTTCAATTTGGTCACGATTCTTAAACGTTTCCAGGTTAGTCCAGCATTACTCTTACCAGCATTACTCTTAACCTTAAATTCGCCAACTCAACTTGTTTTGTTTCATATTGACCTTACCTGTAATACGATATGACAAAAAGATTCGCATCGGACGGTTCTGTACCATCCCCGGATCCGAAAAGGGCGATTTTTTTTAATAGTGATGCTCAGCTCCAAAGTATATCTAAAATTGTATATTTTATTATTTATTTAACATATATTATATTAATAAATTTGTTATTACCAAAATACTTCTGCTCAGCGTGCTATCAGAAAACGTCAGTGGGAATGTGGGGCGACAACAAACGAAATAACATGAATCCGGAAATAGTGCATGCACAACAAGCTTGCAAGTCATACATTAGGGAAAACATTGTTTATTTGAAAAAATAAATGAGGATAGGTTTGCATACAAGAAATTTACAGTCTACTGCAGCATTGAAGCAAGATGGTAGAAATTTACAGTCTCAGCCCTTGCTTTGCTGTCTGTGCCTAAAAACAACATTGAATCAACATGGTAGAAACTAGCAGGTGCGAAAGATGAGCTTCTAGCAAAAGCAACAAGCACGATAAAAGAAACAGTAGTTTAAGTTGTCAGCACATTCAATATTGATATTCATCTGGTGACTTCAAATGCTTGTTGCGAAAAATTCGCCACTTTTTTTTCTTCTTAGTCCCAAGTGCAGGGGCGTCTGAATAAAGATAGCAACATAAACCAAGTGTTATCAATTTGCAAAAACATGAAGACAGATTAAAAAAATGACTGATCCACAGTTTCAAAATAAGTTAAGATGACTGTTTCCTCATTGCCTCCAAAATACTCCCATACTCCCTCTCGCATATATGTCCGATTACTTTGCATCTCTTTCCACTCCTGAAATGTTACTTTCGTTCCAGAACACTTGGTTTAGTTAAAAGGCAACAAAAAGCACATATGCCTTGAATCCTCATTGGATTGTGCAACATATGCACAAAAACCAACAAAACAATCCACTGGCGAAGGTGCTGTTAGCTGAAACCCACCTCGCAAATCATATTATGCACCTAAGATCCCCTCAACCGGAAAGTTAAAAGATCTTAAATTGTCCGGTAAATTGTCTCAATATACTGACAGCGTTATCGTTAGTACATATGTCGTGCAACAGAAACTGTGCTCACCATCACCAATAGAAAGAAACGCTAACAGAAAACTCTATTCTAGTGACAGTGGTCCAGTTTCCAGAACTACAATGTGGAATCTCTTCAGCTAGAAACAGTTCAAAGCATGCCAACTCTGATGCCTAACATGGAATATAATTTCATGTCTCTTAGCAAGTTATTGATGTGCAACGCTTGGATGCATTTAAGACAATACATTGGGCAATCTTTCCATAAGGTAAAGGCTGAAAAAACTCTAAAGACAAAAAAGTAACCGGCCAACTCAAACCCAGCACTGGTAAGAAAACAAGGTCACCTTGACCTATATCTGAAGCAGCCTTATAATTTTTAGTGCAGGCTCAGCTGCATTCAATACAATAAACCAGTGCGCTTCTAATTCTCTGGCAAAAATGTATAAGTAAATTCCAAGGGCGGATACTTACCTGCAAATGGATATATTGAGTTGTAGTGCACCTCTGCCCAAAAGCTCAAAAAAATAACTGCAGAAAACAGATAAACCGATTAATTTGATGTAAAAGTTCCACCAAACATCAAAATGGTTGAGTTGCAGTGCATCTTTCTTCTCTAGAAAACAACTATGTAAAACGGAAGGATAGAAAATGCAAAGGAGATGATATCCAATCAAGTAACCAACATAACCTGAAGGGTCAAAATATACCCCAAAATGACAGTAGGCACTTCTAACTACTGATATATGTTAAAAGACCAAATGCTAGGAGGAAATTTTAAAATGACCCAAATAATAATCAGAATTCTGATGATAATCCAGCAAAAAGAATTTATTCATGGATTCTATAAATGAAACTGATCGAAGCAAAAGCCATAATTGTACCTCGTTTTGACCTTTGGACCTTTGGAAGAATCTCCATGTAGCAAGTATCCTTGAAAGATGTTATGACAAATATTTTAACACCATACTGCAACGTGTCATTAGCATGCATTAGAGAGCCAATATTTGCATCATTACAATGATTATACACTTCAAAGCAGTGCACACATAGATTTGCATCAATTCCTCTTTCAAATGTCTATAAATTCAAAGCACTTTGTAGGACAAACTAGATGGATGATTCACAATAGAAAATTGATATGCAGGTTAGACAAATTAAACAATTTAACCAAATTTTGAGGGAGGAAAATGTACAATATATCGCAAACAAGAGAAAACAAAATAAACATAGCTGAAGCCTACTGAATCTGCAGCAGCCTGCAAAGTGACATGATCACCCCATTCACCATTCCTATAGCATCCACATGATGAAGAAGCAAGGTCAAGAAAAATAAAAAAGAAACAATGATTAAATCAAGGAGGAGCAGAAAAATACTTGGACATCTTCTCCAGATAGTCACCATATGCCATGGGAACATACCCCTCATATACATCTGGACAAGATTTAAGCTGATTGTGCAACATATTGCAAGACGAGAAACGTTAAACATCAAATTTACTTGTAATGCATGGCAATTTCAATGAAAGATTATAACACAAGCTCAATAAAATAAAAAGCCAAACTTTATTATAGTAAGTGAAAGGCCAACCTGATTTACAACTTGCAGTCTCACAAATTCATGATGCTCAGGTGTTCGATAAAATTGATCAGATAGAGCACGGAACTGGCAACATCATGAATTTAATGAGACATCACATATGTAATTTGCATTATGCATTGCAGTAACAAATAGTAAGCTTCCATGACCACCGGGAAGTATGTCATAGGATGAAAAATGAAAACCGATCAAGACTTAAAAGCATCAGGAAGGAACAAGATTTGAAGTTAATAGCAACATTTAAAAGTTTTACCAGCAATAGAACTCATAACCCTGGAAATTCATGTTAAAAGGAAACCACTATCATGCTTTATACGGATAAGTAAAAACTAAGTATGTGTACCAACAGTTTAGACACAGAGTTCAATTATATTGATGCTATATTTCTCAAAAACATTTATATCCATGTTAGCTCTTTTGATATTGATATCCATGCTAGTCTCAAACCACATAAGATATCATACAAGTGTACTTACAACACATATGAACTACATTATACCGGGAAGAACAAGTTTGAAGTATGAACTAAATGTGACATAAACAAACACAAAACAGACAGCATATACTTTATCATCTGTTATATGTAATTTGCTAAACATGCATTATTCTGTCTGAAAATTAAACTTCTTTGTACACTCATCAATCTCATACAATAATAAGCTTCCATTATCTAAGACATGACACCTTTAAACTAAATACCGCTGCACATTAGCATTTTAGATTTTATGCTTTCAGCTTTAAAATCTAACCTGACAGTTACCATCTCCTTCAACTTTTAGCTCCACCAAATTATAGACCTGCAATCTGTTATAGCAAAAGAACTTCCCGAATCATATATTCAAAATACAGGTCAATCTAAGGGGAAAACAGCAAAAGAAACCAAATCACAAAAACATAGGAAAAACTCTTGTGAACAAAAGGAAAAGGAAAAAAAAAAGAGAAGATAAAGAATTCATGGGAAGTTGCAGTTCCAGGAAACAAAAAAGAAAACCTTTCCAGTAGCCTTTGATGATCTAAAGTTGCTTCATCAACTGAGGGTATTTCACCATTGATTCTTGGAACATGCTACACACAGAGAAACCTAAAAGCATAAAGTACAGCTCTACTTGAAATGTCCTAATCAAGAATCTAAAGCTTATAGTCATACTTACAGGAACAGGAACCATCTGGTTCAGCCTTTTCCCCACTTCACCATCAAGAGCATACTCATCTGTTAACTCCAATGAATATGACCAATCCTCCTCAGAGAACAACTTTTCTTCAGAGCTAGAACATGAACTGGAAGGCACTGTATCATCTTGCTCTTCCTCACCACAATCTTGCCCTACAAATCACAAAATATAAACACAGCAATGAAACACATTAAAGACATATCAGCAACTTTAAACATTGAACTGGAAACTCATAATTAAAAATTTTGCTTATACCAGAACCAAAGTCCCCAACAGACTGATCAACACAATCTTGTGGATAACCAGACACTTGCAATTGCAATTCTTCTTCCTGTACTTGGTTTGGAGATCCCACCACCGCAAGTTGTGACAGTTCTTGAAGTTGAAGAGTATGAGCAATAGCCTCATCATTTTCTACATTGCAACATTTTCCCGCGTCATAATGATCCTCCTTGAAATAATTTCCAGGATAATACTGGTCGTCTTCTTGAGTTATCACACAGCCATATCCACAGTTAGGATAAGGATCACTATTGAAAAGTTGCAAACCCCAGTTAACAAAATCATGTTCTTGCTCATATGTAATCATTTTCTCAAATGTAGAAAAATCTCCTAACCCAAAATGTGCTTCCTCCTGTAACAAACAATCATAGAACAAAGAATGATAATAAAGTTTAGTTATTTAGCAACAAAATGCAAAACCCAGATTCAATAATAGCTAAATTTTTGTACTTTAATTAACTTTTTTGTTTTAACTAACATTTGCAGACAAAAAGTCAAGTAGATCAGCATGACTTCACCCCAAAATAAACAATGAATAACAGCAAAATGATCAGATTAGAAAACCCAACTCGTCCGATTAAACAATGGCATTGTGTAACACTAACAAGAATTAAAAATACAACAAAAGCAGACACTTAATTCAGTAAAAGAAAAGAGAATGAGTTCCAACATACCACAGAAGCTAAATAGTATTAGAAGGAAATTAATTAAGATAATTATCCGTGAAAATAACAGCAAAAGCTATTAAGAAGGAAATGCGGGGTCGAGACGCCGCAGAGATGAGAAGAGTGGATGGTGAGAACAGTTTTATTGAAGAGAAAATATTTAGTTAAAAATGGAAAGAAAATAAAAAAAAAATAAAACAAAAGGAGGGGAAGTGACGGACGTCACGAGGTTTTCTAGTGTACGCTTTGCTCCCGTCAGTTGATAGAGAGAATTGTGAGAAAGAGACCGATAGTCAACGTTAAGTGACGGCTATGGCATCTTCTTCAGGGCATTACTTGTTTGTTTGTGTCAGACATTACTACAGGAGCAGGCTTTTGTTCCTCAAAAACTTTACTGCAAAACTGAGTCTTGTTACTTCACAAATGATAATGCTTCCATAAATAGATAGGAGTATTCTCATTCTAAAAATGGCAATGCAGGAACCTGTGTCTGTGCCTAATCAATGGGAGATTGCTACTTGGTAGCATAAGGCACAACAATGGAGTTTGTTTTCTCTTATTACATGTTTTTCACTGAAATTTACTCAAATCTTCATGATCAATATGATGAAACTATACTCTCTGATATATGTTCCTAAGAGAGCCAGATTCCTGGAAGCTTGCTAATTTGTGTGCATATAACATTAATAATTTTTATAATTGTATCATATTTTATACGAAAATTAGATATTATCACAAGGTCCGATAACCCGTTCCCAATTGAACTTTTCAGGGTGATTTCGAGTTAGCAACTTATAATCCAACGTCAGTAAATAAAAAATTTCACTGCGTATGGCCTCCAGCTTCTTGTGAGTGAGCAGCTTACCTTTCGATTATAAAACAACGTGGCATTTTCATTCATTGGAACATATCATTCTTTAAAATCAAATTGCAAAGTTCATGTGCTCTTTCTGAATGTTTTCTTAAGATTAGTGGCTAATTTCTTCACTGAAGTAGTAGCCAAAAATGCATATTATATATATATATATATATATTAATTTTTGGGTTTTGCATTTATAAATTATATCCTGACACAATGGTCAAATACTGACTCTTGAATTTGCCAATAACCCAGTGTGTGATCCATAGGCTATTGGCTATTTGGCTTGCATCAGCATCAGCTTGTTTGACCGCATTTTGTATTTTTCTTGTCTAAAACTATGAAATTGAAGCGTGGTATTATTCTACTAACTCTTTAGTAAAAAAAAATCTACTCAATCTCGCCCCAAAAACCTGGGATTTTCATCTAGTATCAGGGGAGGATCTTGGTCACAAGGTAGATGATGGCGCTTAGGATTGCTAGAGTTGAAACAGAACTCAAACTTGTTGTGATTCTATGAAAAGGAATGCTTTTTCACTTTGCTTTGTTTTTTGAGGTTTGGGCATGTAACGAGACAGAACTGGAGCGAAAACAACGACATAACATCTTCAGAACTGAAAATAGGTAATAAAAAAAAGAGTGATGAACTGATGAGGAGAGACGCCACGTCATAAGCCAAACCCACGTGTCAAAATGATTTTATTTTTAATTTCACTCTTTATTAATGGAAAAAGGAAAATGAAAACAAACAGCCGTCGTCTTTAATGGTCCTAGGTTAAATAGAACAGAGCGGGGCTGGACATGTACTTGTGTCTTAAAACAACACAAAATTTTAAGCCCACAATTAATGAATGCAATAGCTGAGGAGAAAGAAAGAAAAAAAAACCTCAAAACAAAAAAAAAACATATTAGTCCCAAAATTTTTATTAAATTAATTTAATTCATTTGCATAATTCAATGAAAATAAATTCTCACAATGTTACAAAGTTTTTTTTTATTTTTAATTTACCTTTAAATTTTTTTACCTTATTACTATTTAATTAAAAAACTATCATACATATAAATATTTTCGAATCTGTAATCACTTAATATCACAATATAAAATTATTTTAAATCTAAACCATGAAAAGCTTTGAACTTTATTTTATAAGTTCTCTAGACAACACTTAAACCTTTGACTTTGACGTCTTAATTCTTAAATTCAAAAGTTTTAATAAACAAAATGGGATTAGAATTCAATTTGGCGATGGTATGATTAAATCATCATGATTTTTTTTCCAATTAAAAATAGAAGACATAACTGCAAAGTAATCCTCAAAAAGACTACAATTGCAAGCTACGTCAAAGCAAGAAAAATTCTAACTTCTTTTTTTTTTTCTATGCATGATGTCCCACTCACAACTGAGATGGTTAGCCCAATTTCTGAACCAACCTCACCCTGAAAGCTCCTCCTCATCTCCTCCTACTCTAAATTTCCATACTTTTTCTGATCATTCAAATGATAATACGTCAACAGCAACAAAACCAACAACCGGCCACTTTTCCTTTGGGTCTAAGCTTTCGTCTTCCCCCAACCCACAGCTTGATCAAAACCTGGTCATCCGGCCTTCTTGTTTTAACGTTTCATCCAGGCATTGGTGGGGTGGGTTGAAGGTATTAATGGCCAGCCAAGGCGACTTGTCTGTTAATAACATATCGTTGGAGATTGTAAGTTTAATGTTTCAATGTTTTGGCGTGTGTGTGTGTATATAAGCTTCTTGAATTAATGTTGAAAATTAAAGCAAAAAAAGAACGTCGAATAACTTTTTTTTTACCTCCTCCTTCTACGTCTTACTTTTTTTAAGGGTCTGGTTTTTGGCTATGCTTTTTTCTTTTTATTCTTTCTTTTGCCTGATCCTTAATCTATGGTTGATCATGTAATTCCAGAGGAAAAAGAAGCTGAGTGGACTGCAAAAGAGAGAGGCACTTGAAAGAGAGGTATGGGAATGAATCATCTGTCATTCTCTTCTATTGTACTCCATGAGAACCATGCATTTGGAAGATACAAATGCATACATATGAGCCTATGACTAAATACAGACATCCAAAGGTGATGGGTCTCCATAAATGCATGTTTGCGTGCAATCGTGCAATAAATTGATCATTTATGATTTAAGAGCTCTCTAAATAAATTGATTGTGGAGGGGAGAGATCAGGTCTCTAAATAAACAGCTTACAGCTATTATATATGATTTAAGAACTCATTGATCAGTGTTTAAGCATGTCTGAACATCATGGTTTATTAATTTTTCACTTTGGAACTTCTAGTTTTCCCCTGGAACCATATGATGAGTTTCTTGTTAAATACTCAAAGGTATTGTGGGTAATATCATTTCTTTCTCCTAAAAGCAATATTAGTCCCTATGGATTTTTTTTTTTTTTTGGAATTAGGCTTTTACTTGATTAAGAAGATTAGACACTAGACAATTTGGAGGTTGGCCTCCCAGAATAGCTATATCAGCCAAACCCATTTACCAACATCTGCATAGCAATTACTACGCAAGTCAATGGCCTTGTTTCTTGTCCCAAAAGGAGCAGCAGTAAATGAGGACCATCTATTCTATACCTCTTTTATCCCCTTTCTTATGGAGTCTATAAATTTTGAAGATATTTTATAATTTAGACCGTAGAGTTTTAACTACAATTTGAATCAGCTTGCTAAGAAATGGTATTTTCAATTACTTTCAAGCTCGGGAAAGAATTCAATATATCTAGTAATTATTAGTAGTTTATGTTTGTTACGCAAATTATGACATGTTATGATTTAAAGATGTTTGGAATCTTTTTCGTTTCTGTCAAGCTTTCTTTAGGTTGGCAGCTGGGAAGAAAATATGAATGAATAATGATGTTGTTGATGATTTTCCATTTTATAGGTCTCCATGCTTCAGAAAATGCTAAATCAAGAAGAGAAGATGCATGAGATTCTGACACGAGTACATCATCAAGAGGATGGTTCTTCCATCTCTATCCCAAACTTCCTCCCTCCAAAGGTAAGGCTTTTCTTTCCCTTGTCCTTATATATATATATATATATGTATATACATGTACACATATATATGTATATATGTATATATACATATATGTGTGTACATGTATATACATATATATATATGTCTGTATGTATGTATGTATGTATGTGCGTGTGTATGCAAACAAATTATAGTACAAAGTAAAATAATTGGATATATATGTAATATTCTTGCTATTTCAATGAATGAACATATATATACAAGAAGATACTTTTGACGAAGGAAACATTGACTAACCGCTGATTCGGTTGAAATTCGCAGATGAAGGAAATCTTAGCAGAGTTGGCTATGGTTGAAGGGGAGATAGCTCGTCTAGAAAACCAAATAAGCCAACTTCAACTTGGTCTGAAGCAGGAACAGGAAGTCACCAAGGAAACAAAATCAAAACAATCGCAACCTGGGAGTCTAATGAGTAAGCTTCAAGGCCTTCCATCCAGGACATCTAACCAAAGCCCCATAAAGCAAGGTGGCCAAGAAAAGATGGCTTTTGAGACCAAGGCTTTGCATTTTATTAGCAAAGCCATTAAAGGGGATTATACTCTTAGTGACTTCAGTCTAAATGATAGAATGGGAAACTCGAGAGTACTTTCTGATCAGAAAGAAAACCAGTACCAAGGAGAGATTAAATTTCAGGAGAGGATTCCAAGGAAAAGTGGTTTATTGAAGGCACCTTCACCCTTGCGAGACCCTCGACATCCATCACCCAAGGTAAGGCCCCAGTTATTTTGTCTGGCCCCTTAGATTCTGCTAAATTTAGTATAGCAATAATTATGAGTTTGTGAATACTATATATTGAACTTTTTTCAGCCAAGGGATCGTATTCCAGAGTCCAACTGGGACCTCCCACCAAAATCTCTATCTACTACACTTCTTTTAGAAGAAAACAGCCAGAATTGGCATCCGAACAAGCTTTCTGAGAACATCATGAAGTGTTTAAACTTCATATTTGTCAGGCTACTTAGAACATCAAGAGCAATGGAGCTGGAGAAGTCAGGCCCTATTACCAGGTCTATGAACACTCCCACAAGCTCAAGAAGCTTTAGGGTGGAAAATACTCTGAATCCAAAGTCAAGTCTTGCGTTACAGAAGGAATCGAGGCAACAAGACCCATATGGTATCTTCGATATGGAAGAGAGTATTCCAAGGGACGTTGGCCCTTACAAGAACCTGGTCATATTTACATCAAGCTCTATGGACCCAAAATGCATTTCAAGTTCAAGTTCTATTCCTTTACTTAAAAAGCTAAGGTATGCTGCATAAACAGGATATATCTATCTAGTTCTGATGTACATTAATATGCTATTTTCAGAATTGCTTTATTCCCCCCAAAGCAAGAGAACAAGGAAGAGACAAATTCTGATCATTTCTCTGTTTTCCATCTGCAGGGTCCTGACGAGCAATCTCCAGAAAGTGGATCTGAGAGCCTTGACTTGCCAGCAGAAATTAGCTTTCTGGATCAACATGTACAATGCCTGTATCATGCATGTATAGTATGGAAAAGAATGCTATTTTTTCCTTTTATGTTTTTGTCATTTAGAGACAGGTCTTTGCTCGATTTGTGCTAAATCTTACACTGAATGCAGAGCTTGTATGAGTAAGCTAGGATGATTCAGGATAGTATTAACGTTCTTCTTCTTTCTTTTTATTTAAACCCCTCATTATATATCTAGTCGTTTTACTGTTACAGGGATATCTCCAATATGGTGTGCCTAACACCCCTGAAAAGTTTTTGGCACTGATGAACAAGGTACATCCTGAATTAGTTACCCCAGTGTTTCTGTATGGAATTTGAAAGTCCATGGATATCAGATTTTGGCTTCATCTTGGCAAAATAGTAATATTACATCGAATTCAGGCTACTCTCAATGTCGGAGGCAACACAATAAGTGCTCGAGCAATGGAGCACTATATTTTGAGGAAACCAGCACCTTCAAACATAAAAGAGGTACATTTTTATTGTCCCTACGCTACACAGAGATACTGTTAAGTTTCTGGTTTGAGAATTTTTCCAACATTATCCTAAAACATGATTTCTCTAAGGCTTATCCAAAGGGTGACAAGGAAGACCAAGAAGCAATTGTCCGCAAACTTTACGGACTTGAGTTAACGGATCCGAATGTCACATTTGCTCTGTGCTGCGGAACTCGATCTTCTCCAGCGGTAAGTTTAGTTCATTAATTAGTTTGGAACCCATCCATGGGAACTGATTAAGTTTCCTCTGAATAAATTTCATTGACAGGTGAGAATATACACCGCTGATGGAGTTGCAGCTGAGCTGGAGAAATCAAAACTAGAGTACCTGCAAGCCTCAGTTGTGGTGACCAACACAAAAAAGATTGCATTCCCTGAGCTTTTGCTTAGAAACATGTTTGATTTTGCAATGGATATAAACTCATTGGTCCAGTGGGTTTGCCAGCAGTTACCAACATCAGGCTCACTCAGGAAATCAATGGTGGACTGCTTCAGGAGCCATAACAGTGGCAAGATATCCATCACTGTTGAGAAAATATCATATGACTTCGAATTCCAATACCTGCTAGCAATGTAAACAAATTGTTTTCCAAGTTTCCTTTGTTTGGGACGAAAGAAATACGAATTTAAGAAGAGAAAATTATCAAACTTCTTAAATAATGTATAAATAAATGACGAAAATATAATATTTAATGTCTATGTTTATAATTATACCGAACCAAATCAAATTTATCAAGTCAAACTTAAACTATTCAAATAAATTACAAGTTGAGCTTGAACACGACAATGAATAGACTCAAAGCCACGGGGACATGTCGTGGATGTTACAAACATGCAAGGTCTATGAAATCCTAATTGAGTTTTGGATTCAATTAAAACTCGAAGATTTGTGGGCTTTGATCAATGGCAATATATATATAAATAAAAATTTCGAACCTGTCCAGAATAAAAACAGCCCAAACCCATCAGATATTAGAGATTACCTGGGCTAAGTAGCTAGCTACTAAACGAGTTAGTTTTCTGATCCAAAATTGCTTAGAGAATTTATGTTCATGGTATTGGTATCAAAGATACGATTAATTTATGTATTTATATTGTATAAAATATCAAAATTAATATATTTATCATATTTTATATGAAATTATGTGTTATAATTCATGTTAATGTAAAAATATGAAATATGTTTTTTAATTTTGTTAGATTCATATATAATTATTTTTAAAAATTTTAAATTATGTTAATTTCATGTTTGTGCTTTATCATTTTATCATATTTTAGATTGTTAAAGTTTACCAATAACTTCAATAGACTTTTTATATACGTGTATATATATGGATTTGGTAACATATGACTTCTAATCATAAAAATATAATAAGGATTTGATGCTGTAATTAACCTATTTTTTCCTTTTGTGTTTTTGGTACAATTACCCATCATTTTCTCCAACCCATGCAACTCATTCTGATCAATGCAATATCAAATAATATGAATTATTAGATTCTTCATTTCCTTCTTCTAGTATTCTTTTTTTTTCCATTAGGGGCACATAATAATTCTCCGGCTAACCTATTTCACTTCACGCCTGCCAGCCTAACCCCTTTGCTTTGCACCCATGACCCACAACACAGGACCTTCATAATTTTGTCATTCCATTAAAAGGGATTACTGTGGGGTAGTGCCTACCCCCTTTCCTTTCATTTGGAGCGTGCAAATGCAATTGCCTTTGATTATATGGTTGATTTGTCCACCTTGTTCCCCACGAGGCAGAAGTGGAAGAGGTGAATACCTTAATTTTCTTTTCCTTTTCTTTTTACCAAAACGTGGGTATTTGTCACTATCACTCACCTTATTGCTCTTGGATTTATATGATGACTATCGGGAATTTAGTGTGTGGTTGTCAATTTTCATGTGTTAGGCAAATTCTGTATCAAAGGGCTAAAGAAGGTACCCCATCATTTCTGTTCCATGCTTTCATATCATCGAGCACATGAAAGGTCAATCTGACTTGTGAAAACTAAACGTATTTTATTTCTCTCTTTTTTTTTAAATTTCCACAAATGCTACATACAGTGACCTATGAATCCCTATAATTGAATGTGAAATTACATTGTTACATTCCTTCGTATATATATATATGTATATAGTATAATTAAACCTTCAATTATCTCTTTTTTTTTTAATTGAGTAATTTAAAATCAATATTGTTGCTAAATATATAGTATATCAAAGTCTGATTTAATAGTGGCACATAAAGTTTGAGTTATAAATTCGAGTGGCACATAAAGTTTTAGCTATAAAGTTAGCAGATCGGAGCATGTGGTTATGGAATCAATTCTACTTCTTTTTGTGGGAAAACCTGTAAAAAGTTGAATACACAGTAACACAATGCTTGAATCAGAATAGTATTGGTTCCCATACCAATACAATGAAAAAACAAAACCTTCATGATCAGCAGATACTCCTCAAGGACAATTATGATTGTCCAAGGTATTACAATCATCACAATATATCACAGTAAAAAATCAACCTAACTATCATTCAACCGTAAATAAATAAAAAAAAAACTAACCACCATTGTCCAATGTAGCTGAAGTTTTAGCTACATTTGACAACTTATAAATGAAACTTCATCTAGGTAAAACAGGCAGCAGCAGTAGAAACAAATCTTGATATGTTGTTTTTACTTGCATCCCATGAATGGTATTTGGACACGAGCCACATCACAGGGGGCAAAACATTTCAAGTCCAATGGCTTCCATGAAAGGGCAGATCTCCACGTAGAGGGCAGTTCAGTCAATTGACCCAGTACAAGAAAATAGTGCGCAACTGAAAGAACAGGCAAAGGGCAGGGCAGCTACGTTATTTCCCCAAAGATAAAAGAAAAGTTATAGGGGCATCAGAAAGATGTGACCACCATGAATGAGGAGGAGACAACCCCTACAACAGAAAAAAGAAAGTTAAAAAAAAAAAATACCTAGGGACCCTAAAAACCAGTTTCTGAGCGCTGAGGCAGGCCAGGCTGATGTCACAGTTAGGGCTATCGTCAAGCTGCCGATTGTTCCTTTTGCAGTTGCTCTTCCCCTAACCTTACTATATTAGTATATTTTATTCATCAAGTAAAAAAATATTTTAAATGTGTATTTTTATATTAATAAAGAAATGAGCCTTAGCTCACGGTTGCCGTCTGTGGGAGAAAGATTTTTCTTCTATTTTGGGTTTTGGATTTTCTGGGGATTGTACTGACTGGCTCCAATTGTGAACCTCTACTATATATACAGGGCCAGGGGGTCCCGGCTCTGATGGGAGTTTTAATTTTTTATGGCTATCCTGCCGGTTTATGTATGCAAAAATCAGACAGAAAAGGCAGAAGGATTTGATTGGGATTTAATTATAAATCAAAATCACTTTGATGGTTGTGTTTCAAATCTTTTGTATCGGGAAATACTACTTATTTTGACAAGATATCAATAAATTCAATGTCTTTTTTGGATGGATTTATTTGTACAACCTTGTTACTCGTTGATTATTATAATAATATTATTAAAATAACATACATTCGGATGACTTTTTTTACTTGATGTTCTAATGAATTCCAATTTTTATAATTGGAACCCTAGCTAAAAAATATGAAGAAATCTTGTCTTGAATAGAAAAGAAAAGAAAGGAACAACCATGAAAGGCAAAGGCAAAGGCAAAGGCAAAGGCAAAGGAATGCAAGGTGAAGATGAAAGAAGTAGCTTCCATATCTTCTCATAAAACCTGGAACGAAGCCAGCTCGATCGACTGACCTCTGCCGTCTGATTAATATATTCTCCATCCCACCATCAGAAATGGCAGCCAGGGCCCTTGACCACGTGGGGTCAGCTCACACCTCTCTCCTCTTTCCCTCTTGAGTTTCAGTCTTCACCCTCACAGTCACAGGCTCCCCTTCCCCCTCTGCAAAACCCCAAAATAGCACTCCTATTAATCTTTGATTGGACCGTTACCCCAGGGAAAAGCAGTGGGGCGCCAACTTCGATAAACAATGATCATTACCGTCCAATGCCTTCCCAAACTATCTTCGTATTAAAATCAGACGGCGCAGATGGCCTGTACAATCTTGTTTGAATGATGATGTATGTATAACCGAGACCGAGAGGGGCTATCTTTATGCCGTACAAGGAGGGGGAGGTGGTGACCGGCTTTTCTTTTTATTATTACAAATTGTTTTATCGGTAATCGGTAAGAGAGAAGAGTTTATAAGCAAAAGATTTGTGTGGCGGTCGGCACTCAAAGCGGGACCGGGGGGGGGGGACAGTGGCGGCAGTTTCTAGGAGAAACCGGTTGCTGATGTCATCTTCAGTTGCCGTACAGCTTGGGAACTGTCTCCAATGAATTCCTATCCAGTCAATGGCTTCCATTTCAGACAAAAATCTTTGTTTCTTACCAAAGGTGGCTCACCCTTTTTTTTTTTCCCCTTTTATTTAGCGGATATTAATACTAATAAAAAAAAAAGTTTGCTCTTTTACATTTATATTTTTTATAAATATGATCGTTCGTACATTTATTTTTATAAAATATTAAAATTTATATTTTTATATTATATTTTATGTAAAAGTTATGTATTATAATATATTAATATAAAAAATATATTTTTAATTTAAATAAATTTATATATAATTTTTATTAAAATTTAAAATTATATTATTTTTATATTTTATTTTTATCATATTCTTGATCTATTATATATCATATTTTAAATTATTAAATTTATCTACGTATCATATATAAGATTTGATTAACAAGAATAAAGTCCGTACTTTTCAAAAGGAAAAACTACGAAATTAAAATGCATGCAAGAATATATAGAGAGATGAAAAATATTGAATTGAAAATTTTTGATATACTAATCTATGATTTATTCAATTATGAATTTTATTTTACCATTTTTAATATACTTCTATTATGAATTTTATTCTTCTTCCATTTTAAATATATAATATATACATATATATATATATAAAGAAATAGTTGAAAGTTGAAATTTCTACTAATCAGTATTCAGCTAGAGTATATGGTTAATTTCCTTGTTATATATATCTTTGTATCTTACTTTTTTCAATTTTCGCAATTTCTCTTTAGTTTTAACTTTATTTTTCCACGTTCTGTTCTGGCTCAGGATTTGTTATTAATTTCTACCAGCCTCTAAGCAAAATGAGTAGGGTTAATATATGTTCCCTTGGGGGTTAGATTTCTAGAGTGTATATATATAAATGTACAAATCGGTGATGCAATCTGCAGTTGCCGAACAGTGCAGCTTTGTCCAATATTCCTCATTCAATGATTAGTGACAAGCTGTTCCTTTTAACCCTCTTCATCTTTTTATATCAACTCGAGTTTTGCCTTGCATGGATGCAAGTTTTTTTATCCCTAATTAATTAATTAATCATTATTATTTGCTTTCCGGTAAAAACCCTCAAGGTATATAATCATAATACTAATAGGTTACTCAATCAAAAAATTTCCATTAATAAAAATAAAAAAATAAAAATATGTATGCAGGTGAAATCCTACTCCAAAAACAATGATTACTTTGGGTAAATAAGCTGATTAAGCAAGGCTGTTTCTTCTAAACCTGCCCCCACGCAGGAAAAATTAGGTTCAAAGAGACCCAACGAGGGGACATAAGAATTAAATTCTTGAAGATTGATGAGCTTGACCTTTCCAACCCTCCCGCCGTTAAAATCCAACGTCCCCTTGCAACTTTCCAAAGCTTAAAACCGTGCTTAAACGTCAAAGCTAACGGCCATTTATCACTATTTTTTTTCTCAATTATTGTCCCTCTCTAAAGGTTTCTCGTTTATCCAACTCAACAATTTCTTGCCGGAAAATTCCCCACCTCTGAGAAAATTTCCCTTCATTTTTGAGCAAAAAGAAAAGAGTTTTTTTCAAGAGGTAACGTACTTTATGAATAAAAAATTATAGTTTTTTTGGTTATAAAATATTATAGAGAATTTAGTTGCTATGAAGTTAGGCTAGCTGTTGTTTTTTTTTTTTTTTTTCTTGGTGGATGTCGATTTAGCCTTTTTAAGTTTCTGGCCTCCACTGAAACATGGCACCTGAGGAATTTCTCTTTTTTATATAAAAATTATTATTAGTATTCCTTAACCTTTTTCTTAATGCTCCATATAAAGCATTTCTACAAAAATCATACAAAAAAATTACGTTACTTGATATAAAAAAGTAGAAAGCTTTATTTTGATCTTATTTTATTAGATCTAAGCTTTAAAAAAGTTGGTGTTTTTAGTAGCTTGAAACTGACGGGAAACCAGTGTTCGTCAGCTTTGAGAAATTAGGGTTTTCAGAGGTTGTACGTGAAGCTTATGATTGCTATATACATGTACGTTTGGCGGTGTAGGCTTCAGCTCGTTTTGTGAAAAACAAATATAGCTGGCTTTCATCACTGTGCTTTTCTTAAACTCCTCCGTCTTGGATCTGGTCTCTGGGTTTGCTTTGTTTTCTTGTTTTTTCTCCTATTTGGGGAAGGCTAAGGTTTTTGTTTGGTTGGTTGGTTCCATGTGAAGAAATACCAGCAGTCATGTGTTTCAAGAAGTGAAGTTGTTCTATTACATTGGGTGAGAAGTGAAGTAAATTTGCTCGCTCTATAGCTATAGATTTCTCTTTCCTTGTCCTTTTTTTTTATTGTTTTTGCTTCGTCCGTAAAACTTTGTCTGCACTATTTTTTTCAATTTCACATGAATTTCTGTTCATTTTGAGCGTACTTCTTGTCGTGCATCAAAGCTCTCTCTCTCCTCCTCCTTGGGTAGCTTAGTTTTTTGTCTGAAATGTGACTCTCTCCGTAGATAATTGTTATAGTATATGGTGTATCTATGTCACGTTCTTCTTGTGATTTTATCGCAGATCAATATTGAACTTGGAATGGAATATTAAGCGTGATGAATTAATGGGTCGTTTTCTTCTCGAAAGCAAGCGTTGCATGGGTACTCAAGGGGTAGGCAAATCTTTGGCAAGGGTACAAGGCAAGGCCTCATCAACTTGTCTAGTGACTTGAGAGCTTCCTCAAAGCGATCCGTGTTATCTTAGTTAAATCGAAGTAACTGTCATCTTGGTTATGGATATGAGCAAGTTTAGACCTGAATCGCATGTTGCACAGCAAAGCCGTCGAGATAAGCTGAGGGTTCAGCAAAGCTCAAATCTGGTTCAACATTTGGAGGACTTCCCAAACAGTTTGGAACAAGGGTCTTCTGTCCATGTGGGGCTAAACCCAGATCTTGTTCAAGTTCGAAATGCTAATTTGCAATATGATCCATCTCTTATTTCTTCCGGAATCATCCATGTCTCAACAAGCTCTAATGTTTTACCACCTCAAAGAGATGCAATGCTGCATGAAGAATTACAAACAGCTCAACAAAACAGGCAAATGCCTGCCGAGGAATCCTCGTTTTCCGGTACGTCCTTGTCAATTTTATCCAAACTCAATGCTTCATCTAGGGTCTCCGGTGACCTAGAAGGTTGTGGTAACTGGAAGAGTCTTGATTCACAGCATAGTTGTGATTGGATGGTGGGTTATGCAAGTGGATTGACTGGTAGGGAAAGCAATCAGAACTCTATGTTTGTTGGGGAAGTCTTGTCAAATAATGCAAGGGAAAGCAACGTATCGGCAGCCACTCAATATCTGAAGTCTGATTACAGTGCCTACCAAGATGTTCTATCTACTCTATCCAATCCAGGGAGTGAAATTTCTAGCCAAGAGAACAAAAAGCATTATGGGGATTTGCATTTTGTTTCACCTTCACTTTATCAGAATGCTGTCCAGGATGTTACTACAGCTTCTATCGGCACTCAGGGACTGGAAGTGGGTTCTCTTGCACAGCAAAATGTCAGAGAAGCTTCCCGTGGTTCATTGATTGATTACCGTGGGAATCAAGCAAGTTCTTTGCATTTTGATAACACTGGTGCTTGGATGAATAAGCCACTAGTGGAGCATTGTCAACAGTGGGGTGGTGAATTGGGGTTTTTGGCAGTCAAGAGTAGCCAAGAACTGAGGGCTGGTGCGAGTGATGCTACTGCTCAAGGCCTATCTTTATCTCTTTCATCGAATCCCACTCCAAAAATTTGTGGTGCAGCTCAATTCACGGAGGATCAATATGGTTCTGATGATTTTCACTCTAAGCCTGGAGAATTTAAGGAACCTCAAGATTCAAAAACTTTAAAGCCTGGTTATTTTTATTCGATGCAGAAACCATCTGTAACTAGTAAAAGTAGTGGAAAACCCCTTCAAGACTCGGGTGGAACTTCAACTTACCTTCAGCGACATACAGGCCCCCTTGGCCCATTTACTGGATATGCAACTATTCTAAAGAATTCAAGATTTTTGAAGCCAGCACAAGAACTATTGGATGAATTCTGTCATATGAACAACTCAAAGCTTGTTAAAGTTTGTGAAACATCCGAAGGGATCTCCGGAGAGGTCAGTGCTTCAGCCTCAGCTGATGCTGCCAATGCAGTTGATATGGAAGCTGGAGCTAATAAGGGAAATAATTCAGGGGCCTCGTCCTCTACCTTTTACAGTTCTAACGAAATTAGAGTTGATGTTGGCATTGGGAGCTGCTCTGGTGAACCTTGTAGGCCTGAGTACCAACAAAAGAAGGCCAAGCTTTTATATCTGCAGGAGGAGGTTGGTTACATTATTTCTCTCCTCTTATTTATAGATTATCATGCGTTTAGTTTTTATGTGTATTTTCAATGAACATTAATGAAGGACCATATATGCATTAATTTTCAATAAAGATTAACTCATTTCAATGAACATTAATTTTTATTTGAAGTCATTTAACATTAATTAAGGCCTTACAGCTTTGTCTTTATTGATCGTAATGCCTATATAGGCCACTGAAAATTATGTTCTGTGTGCGTGTTATTTGTGTTTGAATGCAAAAGTGAAACTAAAAAGTATTACTTAACTGATAATCTAATGGAGTAGTCTTAGATTATTTTTGTCTCTTTTTAGAGTCCAAAAATTTTCATAAAAAAGGTAAAAAATTGGTGAAACCTTAAAGCATGGTTGAATATTTTACAAGCCAAATGAAATGATAGATGGAGGTAACTAAATCAACACAAATAAATCATTATCCTTTAATAGCCTAGATGACTGGCTGAAAAGAATTTCATTGACTAGTAATTGAAATTGAAATTATACTCGTGTTTTGGATTGGTGTAGTGAAGAGCAGAGATTGCAATGGATCGAATTTTAGGGAGCCGAAATTGGGTGAAGGATTAATTTCATTTCTATGGATGGGTCACAAAAATAGCCAAATTAATCATTTGTGACAATTTTAATTATTTGTGTAAACAGCATGTATACTCTCTTTCAATTTGTTGGAGACAAGTTATGAAGTCCATTTATTGGTGGAGACTACCCCACTGGCATTAAGATTATGAAATTTTGTCTCTTCCTATCATATTTGTTTGATTTGTAATTTTCTTTATTATGAAATTTGAATCTCTTTTGTTCCATTTATCATCTATGCAACCTGCATTACCATTTGCCACCGAAAAGAAAACCAGCCCATCCAAGTTCTTCCCTCATATCATACATGCACCTTTATTCAAACTTTATCAAATGCATGAGTTATTTTCTTTTAATTGTATTGCATTCACATTCTTCAGAGATGTGATTAAAAAAAAAAAATTCTCTTTCCTCTTTTTTACCAGTCAAGCAAGTTACATCTTGGGATTGGTTATAAACTTTGTCTAGCAAGGCATGGTCTTTTCATATACAGATAGGGTTGTGCATAGCATGTGGCCTTTACAGTAAAAGTTACTCATATTACATATATTTTGATCCCCACCTCCCAAGCAATGCAGTTTGGTTATGGAACTTTTTGTTGGTACTGGCTATGGATTTGCATTGTTGTGGGGTTTTATGACTTTGAAGTTTCAGCAATTATCTTTATTATTTATAACTAATGTTTAGTCATGTGTATCTTGTTTAAGCAAATAAATCATTAGCATGGTTGTTTTTTTTTTGCCACAAAATTATTAGCACGGCTAGATATGTATTTTTCATATGAAGGGATACAGTACAAAATACATGCTTGGTTATACCTGTGTCAATGTCTGTACAAAAAAGAAATGTGTAATGACTTTGAAAGTTGTAATAACAAACATGTTATATTCATGTCTGCCATTATAAGGGTTATCCGGCCATGCTTCTACTTACCAATAAGAATTGGTATTTGGAAAATGATAAGACAGGTAGTAGAATAGGAGGAAGAAAAGCTACTACAGTTTGTGGGAAATTTTGGTGATTCTTCGTTGAATTAGAACTCTGAATTATTGATTTGATACACCCTCATACTTGTCCTTGAATTGTATTTATGTGTTCTACATTACTTTTTGTACTCGTTTTTCATTTTTGGGGTGTTTTCTAGCAAGATAATTAGTCTTTTTTTTTCAGTTACGATGACCTTTTCCTATAGGAAATTAAGTTCTTCAAGAACTGATGATGAGTGAAATTTATCTGATATCCAACAGTTTAATCTAGGGATTGGTGCTACTGTTGTTACTTGTGTTAGACTGCATTATAAGGATCAAATTAACAACTAAAGTAAGCCAGCGTTGAATAACTTTCAAGTTGGAGTTTAGCTGAGAGAAAGTACACAACAGCAACCAGAGGGCCCATTTTGTGATTTAGGCTTGCCGCTAAATGCCAAGGATGTCTTCCTAATTTTGAAGCAATAATTAATAGCTGGATATCAATGCAGTCTTCATCTCTGTATACCTTCAAATCAAATTATATTTCAATTAACAGTTTAGACCACTCTTTCAAAGCTACTTTATTAAAATGTTTAACCCCAATAAGTTGTCCTCTTGCATTGACTGAAGGCCCCATCATAGGTTTAAATAATAGGTTATTTAGATCTGCTTTACTATTGATTTTCCTAACTTGGCCAATGTGTTTGATCAGAAAATGAATACTACTGTGAAACTGCTGTTCTCCAATAACTTCCATCATGTTTTCTTTGTTCTGAATCATTAATTATTGTTCTTGGACTTAATCCTATTAGCATCAATGCTCATCATGATAAATTAATTTTGTGTAGAATCTTCCCAATTTTCATAAAGGAGCCTGTGTGTGTTTTATTCTTTGTCCTTTGATTTTATTTAATCATTTTACTGTTAAGTAATGCTAGCATAATTTTACTATTATGAGAACCTGACTGTGCTGTGCCATTGAAAGGTTTGCAGAAGATACAAGCTATATCATCAGCAGATGCAAATGGTGGTTTCTTCTTTTGAATCCGTAGCTGGTCTTAGCACTGCCACCCCCTACATTTCCTTGGCTCTCAAGACAGTAGCAAGAAACTTCCGGTGCCTAAGGAATGCTATCACAAACCAGATCAGGCACGTATCTAGAGCCCTGGGGGAGGACTTATTGTCCCCAACTACCGGTACTAGCAGTGGCAAAGGTGATATAAATATGTCTAGGCTAAAGTATGTGGGTCAGAAATCTGGTGGGGTTAACATGGGCTTCCTTGAACCCCAACAACATGGCTGGAGGCCCCAGAGAGGACTACCAGAACGATCAGTGGCTATTCTCAGAGCTTGGCTCTTTGAGCATTTTCTTCATCCGTAAGTCTCTTAGTCTTCTTTTTATTTTTGTATTCCCTCTCAAATATGTAATTTGGTGTGAATTTCTCTATATCTGCTTTTCTTATAGGTACCCCACGGACACAGATAAGCACATGTTGGCCACTCAAACTGGTCTTTCTCGAAATCAGGTGGGCTATGCTTCCTGTATGTTGTCTAATTATTTAGTCTTAGACTGTTCGGGTTATTGAATTAGAATGTAGCACCGTTAGGCTGTTGATATGGCTTGTAGACCATGTTTTATACATTTTTTTGAGTTGTTTGAGTTGAATTATCTGTCCTTGGAACTTGTTTTAATTTTAAGATCGCCAAAGTCCTGAAGTTCAATTTAAAAGCTGGAACTGCACGATTCCAAATTCCAATCTTATGCTGTGGCATGATAATGCTTGTTAATTTGGACAAGAATTCGCAAATGACTAAGTTGCAATGATTTATTGCGAAAATGATCTCTTCTCCTGATCTCAACAATTTGATTTGTTAATGCAGGTGTCTAACTGGTTTATAAATGCACGAGTTAGGGTTTGGAAACCAATGGTGGAAGAAATACACATGCTTGAAAGCAAAGGCTTGGCAGAAGGCAATCAGAACTTGGGCAAAACTGATGGAAAATCTACTAGTGAAGGAGGTACCAGTCGGCCTAATGAAGACCAATCTATCAACAGGCCATGTATAAACGCAATGTCTGACAAGCAATTGGCTTGCTCTAATATGCTTGTCGCTGGCATTGCAGGAGATGTACATGATGTAGAACACTGGAATCATCAGAAACATTCAAGGATGGATTTCCGCATCCCAACAAGCATGGAGGGTTCATTGATGGGTTTTTCACCGTATCAGCAAAGCAGAATTGAGATGGGAGGGCTTGGAAATGTGTCACTGACTTTGGGACTTAGGCATGGTGTAGAAACTGCACAACAGCATCAGCAACAATACCAACCGCAGGACGATCAACTTCGGCAGCAATTTGGAGGTCAAATGATTCATGACTTTGCCGGATGAGCTTATATTGGTCTTACAGTAAAGCTGAAATGAGTAAGCGATGAGCTAGCTGTTCCTTGTCACAATTTTCCTAAATTTGGCAAAAAAAAATCCTGCTGATACATGTTAGCAGGTGACCTTGACAGTTTTGGTTGGTCATGCTAAATGTTAAAATGTAGCAGATGGCAACATGCATTACTTGGGCCGTTTATTGCGCTTGAAATCCACATCGTCTATCTAATAATTGATGGTGACAAAAAATTCAAATATAATAATGCAACATATATATCTGGGCTGTTGTGCTTCAATGCCCAAATATGCAGGTTCGCTTATATTAAAATGACCCATAATCGAAGTTCTTGATTGTGCAAAAAGATCCAGTTAATGTATTGTCAGCCCATGAACGTGTTAAGGCCAGGCTAACCCAAAGCATGAAAACGATTAAGAAACCAGCCTTAAATCTCTTTCATGGCCTTTTCGATACACATTTGGTCATTTCGTTAAATTATTGTTACACTAAGGGCCTAACTCCTTAATTTTCATGCCTTTTATGATCCAAAAATGAGATATTAGTTCAAATCCTCTTGGTACACAGAAAATGGAGTAAGGGTTTTTATGGTGGACATGAGGAAGGTAACAAGGTCAAGTTTTTTAGCCAAATAAAATGCTTGGGTTAATATATTTGGTATCAATAAGATATAAATATAAAAATAATATAATTTAAAATTTTAATAATATTTATATATAAATTTAATAAAATTAAAAATATATATTTTATATTTTTATATTAACATAAATTTTAACATATAATTTTTATGCAAAATATAATAAAAATATAAATATTTTAATATTTTATATGATAAAAGTATACTAATCATATCAAATTCAAAATAAATAATAGAATGATCAAATCTAAGTCTAGTCTAAATAGTAGGATGACCAAATCTATACCCACTTTAAATGTATTTAAAAGATGAAAATTTATTAGGTAAGACTTTCATCTTCCCGTCCGTCTTACCAACTATTATTGAGTCGGTTAGCCTTAGATTACTTGGAAAAATGTATATTCATATAAATAATGATTCTTTTTATTATAATTTTATAATTATTCAATGTAATTATATAAAAAAAAAATTCTTTCTCGTAGTTAGTTTTTTTTTTTATTATAACTTTTTTGTCATAATAATTCAATTAAAAAGAGTTTTTTTTTTTTTTTCTTATCAATCGTTTCCCTTCGTAAGGAGAATTTTAAGAGTAAAATAAATTGACGCATTGAGAAAATTAAACTCTATAAAGTCTAAAAATGCCCTAAACAAAATTCAATTAAGAACAATTAATGTGTCATTATAAAAGAAATTTTCACAAAATTTAGTGCAAAAAAATACTTGATACAAAACACAGGCAAAGAAAAATATTAATGGTTTTTGGTATTCCTTGAGATTCACATAAATTATGTAAATAGAACTTTCTTGGAATTATAAGAAAATCTGATTTATCTATCTAGTATATAATAAAACTCAAATTAAGAATGTCGAGGCATTTTAATTGATTTTCAAAGTCAAAAGCATGGATGAATTGGAAGCCTCGATTTTTGCATCTTGGTGCTACTGTACCAACAAAAACAAAACACTACCATTGGACAAGGAGAAGTGTTGGGTTTGGCTTTCCAGAAATGAACCAATTGGTCAAAACACAGTTTGAGATGGCTGAGCATGTGTTTTGATTTTGACTAATCATCTGTCTTCAAAGTAACCAAGACAAAGCAGCATTCTTTTGGGGTAAATTGATGCATGAACTGGCCGACATTACTCATCAGTGGCAATGATGAAAACAAAGTAAAAGTTAAGGGCAAATTCTCAAAAACAGAACTTCAAAAATGGCTTATTTTTTAACAGCTCCATTGCATTTCTGAAGGTCAAAAGCTTCCTTTCCCTTGGCTTCCTCTCTCTCTTGCTCAATTAACCTCGCTTGAAATTCATTAACTCCAGACCTTTTGAATTTACAGCTCACAACCTCAAAGAGATGTTTCCTTCCTTTGCCTTCTTACAGCAACAATCGATTTACTAGTCTTCAATCAAAATGCTGCCCTTGCCTAACATGTCTGGTTTTTCAACATCCTGAAAAACTAAAAGAACTGGCTTTTACTACAAAGGATAGATCTTGAAGCTGAAGAAACCAAATCCAAAGTGTTTTTTTTTTATTTTTATGATGGCAAGTAAATGGAGGAAAGCAAAGCTGGCTCTTGGCCTGAACATGTGTTTGTATGTGCCTCATCAAAAGCTTGAAGATTCATTGCCTTCATCATCATCAACAACATCATTCATTAAGCATCATCATGATGCCGCTGCTAATGTTCCTTCAAGGTTTTCTTCAGATTCTGTTCCTCTGTCTCCAGTTTCTCCTCCAGGCAACGAGTGCCGCCCCACAACTCCGACCCCTTCCTCTTCCGAGCTCCGGGTGTCCAAATCTAGCCCAAAATCTTCCAAGGTCTGCCTTTTTCCATTTTCTTACCAAACTCCTTTTTTTTTTACTTCTGAATGAGGATAAAGTTGGGATTTTCTCCTGTCCTTTGTAGATTTTCTGAAGTTGGTTCTGCTGCAAATTGGTTATTTTTATTTTTATTTGCAATTATCGGTTTTGTGGTGGTCTAATTTTTTTTCCCTTGCTGGATCTTAGAGGAGATTCTGGTCGTCAGTGAACAGTGATTAGCTTATTTGGTTTTCTTAATTCACTAACCTAGCCCTTCATTTTTTTTGTTCATCTTGAATGAATAATAGTGGGATTTGTGTGAAAGGGTTCTATTTTTTCACTATTTTATACAAAAAATTACTGTTAGTGCTAATTGTCTTCCCTGCCTAATTTTTTGCCTTTTGATGTAATCTTGATCTTTGAATAATTGGATTCAATGTATGAACTATGAAGGTTAGTGTGGGCATAAAATATTTAATATGAAGAACTAATACTATTAATGTTGTCAAGTTTCTATTTATTTTATTGACTCTTACCTGATTTCAACTTTGAAGGCTTCTTCTTATCATGTGGGGTAGGGGGGGGCGGGACCATGTGATAGTGTGCTGATTCTGAAATTTCTGAAGATGGGTATTTGTTGTTGTGTTGTTTTCAACTCTCCCATGAGGCCTTACGGGGGGATGAAGTGGACTTCCCCCAGGGACCATTGTCCTTCGGCTTATTAGAAAAGGAATAACAGTATCCTACTGTACGCTGTACTCTCTCTCACTCCTTTTCTTTCTTTTTTTTTTTTTTTTTTGTCATTCAAGCGACAGAGCCTAGGGGAGGGGGAAAAATTGGGATTCGATCCCTTGATGTTTTTTTTAAGATTGTTTGGCCTAAGACATTTCACCTTGATGGAAAAGTGCTTTGTCTGGTAGCATAACTGCACTATCCACACACATTTCCATCTCTCTCCTTTTGATGATAATTTTGCAGAAGGCTTCAGTTGATTGTGAGCTTTTCTCTAATAAGCTTCAGCAAGAAAAAAGGAATAATGGGAAATGGAAAAATAAAAATAAAAATGCCATCATTTCCTCTTCTTTATATTTAACTTTGCAATATTTTTGTTACTTCTTTTTTGGGTTATTTTGTTGAAAGGTTCATCATTAGTGTGTGAGGTTTGTTTGATTATTCTTAACTTTTTAAAGTCACCACTTTGGTTTTTGATGAATTCCTCATATGTCCTTTACAATTCTTTGACTATTTACCATTGACATACCTTTCTGGTTTCTTAGCAATTTCACTGTTGTGTTAACCCTATTTAAAATCAATAGGCTGCATTTTATTTCTTCTTTTCATGCTTCTCAATAGTAGAGCTCTATATGGTGATAGAAAGAGTCAGTGGTGGGCACTATACGGACCTTTGAAAATTTCACATTTTTCCAGAAACACTAGATATATTATACTATATAAAGTTAATTGTCAGATGTTTAGTTTCAAGTGTGTTTGATATGGTTTTGAACCAAAGTACAGTAATTAAATCTGTTAAGACTAAAAAATGTGACTCGAGAATTTTTCTAGAAGTTATATGCCAACTACGATGCCCACGAATTGCAACCTGCTCCTTTTCTTCTTTTTTAAAATCTATACTATAATATAACAATTGCTTTAAACCTTTGCTGTTGCTATCCTATTAGTATTATACTTCAGACCTGTTTGAATTATTTTCTTACCTGCCTGTCCTTCCAAACTGCAGAGAACCTGTTCAATATGCCTGACAGCTATGAAACCAGGCCAAGGCCATGCTATTTTCATGGCAGAATGCTCCCATTCTTTCCACTTTCACTGTATAACTTCCAATGTAAAACATGGAAATCAGATTTGTCCAGTTTGCAGAGCAAAATGGAAGGAAATTCCCTTTCAGTGCCCTGCTTCTGATCTTCCCAATGGAAGGTCTAGAATCAACCCAACAGATTGGCCCCGGGATGATACATGGATGACTATCGTAAGAAGGCTAGCTTCCTCTCGGTTAGATTCGACTAGGCAGATTTCTTCACTTTTTCATGCCTCTGAGCCGGGAACCTTTGATGATGATGAAGTCCTAGATCAGCAGGTTGAGAGTACGGAAGAACATATCTTTGTCAAGGATGCTTCTAAGAATAATTCTATTGGAGCAATAGAAGTTAAAACATACCCTGAAGTTTCGGCCGTTCCAAGAGCAACCTGTCATAATAACTTTGCCATATTAATCCATCTCAAGGCTCCCCATACAAGTGGAAGGCTAGATAGCAGAAATCAAATGATATTTTCCCCCACGACTCAAAATTCTCGTGCCCCAGTTGACCTTGTCACTGTTCTTGATGTTAGTGGCAGCATGGCGGGTACCAAGCTTGCGTTGCTAAAACGAGCTATGGGGTTTGTGATACAGCATCTTGGGCCCTCTGACCGGCTTTCTGTTATAGCATTCTCCTCCACAGCCCGTCGCCTCTTTCCTCTTTGCCGGATGACTGAGACTGGACGGCAGGAAGCATTGCAGGCTGTTAACTCTCTTACTTCAAATGGTGGGACAAATATTGCTGAAGGACTTAGGAAAGGTGCCAAGGTGATAGTAGATCGAAAGTGGAAGAACCCGGTTGGAAGCATCGTACTGTTATCGGATGGGCAGGACACTTATACTGTCACAAGTCCTAGTGGAGCTCGTTCCAGGAAAGATTATAAATCACTTCTTCCTATCTCAATTCAGCGAGATGGTGGGGCAGGTATCCATATCCCTGTGCATGCCTTTGGGTTTGGTGCGGATCATGATGCTGCTTCAATGCATTCAATTTCTGAGATATCTGGGGGTACATATTCTTTCATAGAAGCTGAGGGTGTGATCCAAGATGCTTTTGCCCAATGCATTGGAGGGCTCTTAAGTGTGGTAGTGCAGGAGACATGTGTTCAAGTTGAGTGTGTGCATCCAAATTTGCTAATTAATTTGATAAAGGCTGGGAGTTATCGAACCAGCATTACAGCTGGTGCAAAAGCAGGTTCTATTGATGTAGGAGACTTGTATGCTGAAGAAGAAAGAGATTTTTTGGTGACGGTCAATGTTCCAGTTGATGAATCCAGTGATGAGATGTCATTGCTGAAAGTTAGATGTATTTACAGAGACCCCATATCAAAAGAAATGGTGTCTTTGGAAGAAGCCAATGAAGTAAAGATCCAGAGGCCCACAATAATAATTGGACAACCAGTAGTGTCAATGGAAGTAGACAGGCAGCGAAACAGGCTCCGCGCTGCAGAGGCTATGGCTGAGGCCAGAGCTGCTGCTGAACATGGTGATCTCAGTGGTGCTGTCTCTCTCCTTGAGAGTTGTCGCAGGGCTTTATCAGAAACCATTTGTGCACAGGCTGGTGACAGGTTATGTGTTGCACTATGTGCTGAGCTAAAGGAGATGCAAGAAAGAATGGCAAACCGTTGTGTATACGAATCATCTGGAAGGGCTTACGTGTTGTCTGGTTTGAGCTCACATTCGTGGCAGAGAGCAACTGCACGAGGTGATTCCACCGATAGTACAAGCCTTGTTCAAGCTTACCAAACTCCTACCATGACAGACATGGTGACCCGTTCTCAGACCATGTTCTTTGGGAACCCTCCACAACGAAAGCTTCGACAAGCTCAGTCATTTCCAGTCCGTCCGGAGCCAAGGTAATCATTGACGAAATCTTCAAATATTCTCCTCACCCTACATTCAATTTCTATATCCACAAACCTTTTGTTTTGTGAAATATTTGTTTCTTATTTTTGTGGCTTGGGAAGCGGGGTATAAATTGGAGTAAAAGAAACGGGGCTAGGTGTTTTTACATGGTGGGTATATTTTCTTGTTCTGATATGTAAATTAATAAAAATTGGAGACAATTGAAATGAATGGTTTGAAAGAAGATAAAATGAAGGCGACAAAAAGGAGAATCTGAGACATGATGGAGCATTGTACATCGGGAGCAATGTTTTTTTTTCCTCTCCAAAAAGGTATAGCCATGTAATTGTGGGATAGTTGGGGTGAATTCTTCACTTAAATGTATGATATGGTATATCTGCTTTTGATTCTTTTTCCCAAAATTTGCCTAATAATGAGAATTTGCTGGAAAACAAAAGCATATGCTTTATTGTTACATGAACTTGGCATTAATATTAATTCTGTTTGATTCCAAATTCTGGTCCCAATCTAAAGTCTACTCATTGCTGACTCTGTACTCGATACCTTATCAAGTTCTTCCGCTAACAAAATCTGAATTCTTTTCGAAAAGGACCAACATCATCAAATTATTGCAAGGTTACTGCTCTGGGGTTACATGATTTTCTGTCAAATTTCTAAAAGCCAAAATTCATGGTGAACTATGTTGAAGAAGAAAATATCATTAAGGAATAAAGTAATCATTAAGCCAACCATTGAAAATGGTGCAAAAAATTCCTCCTTTAATTGGAGGTGCCATGGACCACATAACTACTGGTGGCTACTCAATTCCATGTTGGACACCAATAAATCAAAACCAACTTTTTAATATTTCATTTTGTTCATGATTAAGACAGAAACGCATGCAAATTCCAGGCTGTTTTAGAAGAAAAAAGTAAACAATATCCACTTCTATGCAATGAATTGACAAGAAAATGGATACCCAAATTGCCAATGGAGGCGATTATCAATTTATCACCAATGAAATGTTACTTATTCTATTTATACAAAAAAAAAAAAAAATGATACCAAGTTGACAAGATAAAAGTTTGACAATTCACCAATCACCATCACCTTTAATCAAGAATATAGTCCCAGCCCTTTGATTTACATCCTACGGTCAACAGTCAAAAGACTGAAAAATAATCATATGGCCCCACTTTTGCATGTGATTTCCACGTGACGAAATAACCATTCAAAAAATTACCTAAAAAAACGAGCCACCTCGTATTCAGTGCAAAAATCTCTTCCACTGTCTCTAGCAAAGTAAAACGTTTGAAAAAAAGCTTTAAATTTCATTAAAATTAGTTTCATTAAGCTCTTAATTAAGATTATTATGTGTAAATCATGAATTAATAAAAGTGGGTTTTTGTTTTTCTGTCGCTAAAGGAAACCAACAGTGACGTAAAGCCATTATATTCTCAAAGCAGATTGTTTTAGGTGTGCCAAATTTTTGTGATTTGTTTTGACCTTTTGGCTTTTGCTTCTTTTAAGTAATTCCAATTGATGGTATTATTAATTTAATGCCGTTTAGTTTACCTATAAATCCAGTCGGATCGTAATGATTGGCATTCTTTGATCCAACGGTTCATATCAACTTAGGCCCCACAAATGACTCAAAATCAGGACAGCGATAGTAGACAAAAGTCGGACATTGCGGTAAACAACAACGTTGAACTGAAGTTCTAACTTTACAGTGCCGTTTTAACGGTCCCCAACGTATGCTATAGCAGTCTGCAATTGCCAGTAAATGTCTTTGAACATTGAAGCTAAGCCATGTTCTTTTCTTTGTTTTAACCGTTAGCAACTTGGAATTGGAAAGCTCTAATTTTTTTTTTCATTTTTTCAAAGAACCCATTAATCCTGAAATGGTTGAGAAATCATTTTCATGTTGGCAAATGGGTAGCTTTCAGAGAGGTGGTTGATGGGTTTGTTTTCTGTTTCTATTCTATTTTTTCAATGCTTTACATTATCAAAACCTCATCAGTCTTTGTCCATTTTTTATGTGCTGTTATATGTCTCTTCTTCATTGCAAACACTACTTTTTTTTGGTTTTCAACTTAATTACTATTAATTTCGATTGGTATGGTAGCATTTAAGAATACTCAATTATCCATTCTTTTGAGCTTCTCTCTGGAGGTTATACTCGCTTGTTTTGCTTCGGCTTTTGCCTTCTAATACCAGGCTTGAACTTAAACATCCAGTTATTTATGCTAGTTTTTGTAAATTCTCTTTAGTTTGGTGATTATTTTTATCTAAAAGAAATTTAATTTTCACTTCTTGGGTTATTTAAAACCAATTTGGATGAGATAGCATGTTCGTTTCATGGTTTGGAAGGTCTGGGAACAAATCATGTAGGTGTCATTTCTACTCCATCAATGCAGTTGCAGCTGGAGTGGGGACTAAGGTCTCTGATGCCATTATTTTGAAAAATCAATTAGTGCTCTGTAGAGTGTAGACCACGTGTATTTAATATTTGAAGTAACTATATTATAATGGCAGCTGCTAATTTGGTAGGCCTTGTATGTTTTTGCATTTGGACGCTTATGCGTAGCCGGCATTTTCATTACCTCACTTCAGTGTTGCTGTCTCCGGGACTGTAGATGGATGCTTATGAATTTTGTGAAGTTTGTTAAAGAATTTTGGTAGAGAATACCGGTATTGAGTGTATTTCATCATGGTATTACTTGTTCTGTACTTGCTTGCTTGACTGCTGTGTGGAAAGGTTGAAAGTATTAGAATTGGCAGCCTAAGATGTTTGTTGGCCAACCATGAATTCAGCAGTTCCTATCATGCTATATTTATTTGAAAATTTGATATTCTGGCCATCACATATAGAGTCAGGGTATGAATGTAGAGGCACCATTTTTACTTAGTTTGAGATTCCAATGCTATATCAGACATGATCTTTCAATCTCTAAAGCATCTTTACTTGTCATCTCTGTTTGGATATCCAGCCCCATATAAATTTACGGTATCATTTGATTCAATTATTGTCCTTCTTCTTTGTCACATCAATTTTCAAACTTTTGGTTCTCATTTGTTTTCTACAGATTGGTAGCATTTAATATCAGGGAAGTTTGAACAGTTGCCTTCTGGCCCCTAACGAAGGTTTATATATGTATAATGTATTATGATATGATTCTGGAGTTGTTTCTTTTCATTGTTTTATCTGGCTGTTGATTTTATTATTTCATGTCAGTTATACCTTCTGTGATACATCAGGGAATCCAATTTGATAGTTAGATTATTATATTCCTGCAAAAATCAAGGTTTTGCATGAATTTAGATTGTTTGAATGACCATGATGACTCATGAAGCTGGAGTCTACCATTTGATTCACACAGACTTGAATAACTTGAGCAAGTTGTTGCTTTTAGCACGGTTTTTGTAAATACAACGGAATCTGCCCATGCCTTTGTTGCAAAGCAATTTTTCTGGTTTTAGTTTTCCTACTAAGAATTCAAATCCGGATATACCCACCCCACCCTCTGTTTTCAGTTACATTGCTTTGCATTCTGTTGTCAATTTATACTTCGTTGAAGCAGTATCTGACATTCATTCTGGAATTATAACATAGAGATAACTAGATTTTTTTTCTCCAGCTTAGTGTTCAGTTTGGAATAAATGAAGCTTGAAGTGGAAGTTGCTCTTGCTTGTGTCATTAGCTTGATTTGGATTCAGCAAGGTCTTTGTGGTTAGTATGAACAAAGCTCTCTTTAAATCTCTCTCTCTCTCTCTCCCCTTTTATCTTTTGTTTTGGTTATAATATCATATTACCATTGGAAATACTGGGTTCTTGGTGCACCTTAGCTTGATATATCTTACACTTAGAAGTCCGGCTTACCAACCTCCAGCCCAAGGCTACCTTAACTGATAGGTTTTTGCTTGGAGATGTGTTGGCAACCAAAGTTTACTACTTTTTTAAGCAATTGCAGACCTGAAGACTAGTAAATCCTTCTCATTGTCTATTTGCTATTTACATAATTGCTACTTGGCTGAATTTCCTTGTAATCATTTGATGGCAGATGAAATTTCTAATATATCAGGCATAACCAACTGGACATGCACATGCTCTTCTTTATATCAAGGAAACCGGAGCTATGTTCTTACATCTAACTGTTCTAGATCCTGTGATTGCAGTCCAGGTATGCTGATATTATTTTTGGTAGAACAACTCTGCTGGTGCTAGGAATTGATAGAAGGTGCTATATCTCTTTGTTTTGTTGAAGTGACAGTCTCATGAAAATTCCTAAGCAGTAGCATTTTGACAGAGGATAGAAGGGTAATGGGTTAAACAAGCCTGAGTAAATTCGCACTTTTCATGATTGGCTGTGGATCCTGAAGTAGGATTTAGTTAGTAACTATCCCTCCAATCTTTCCTTTGAAATGATGTATAGGGGCTGTTCATAGAATGTTTTAAATGGGATTTTGCTAGACAAATAGACTTTGTTGTGGTATAATATGCCACCCCTTCCCCTCTTCTCTCCTTTTGCTGCAATTCTACCCAAATTATTGCGTAATTTTTTGAGGATATTGGGTTGAGGATGCTTCATGCTTCATGTTATGTCCAGCATTTTTATGGAACTATCACCTTCTTCTTGTATTAAAACATCAAATCCTGTTGCATCCTCTTTGGCAGTTCAACCAAGAGGAGATAGGTGGACATGTTTGTGTGCTACTGATGGATTCCCCAAAGTAGCAGTCGACAATCATGATACTAGCTGTTTTACCGCCTGCAACTGCACTGCTGGTATTTTCTTCCAACTCCAAATGTAAATGTGCGTTTCTGAAGAATTCAATAGTTCAGCTGCTGTATATACCATGAACTATACAGATTTTGTCCAGTTTTGGTGGAGGGAGCTTTTAGAACAAACTTTAGATGACTATTGAACATTAATTTTTCCCTCCTTTTATTTTAGCAAGTAATTAATGCATATTTACTCTTTCATCTGTGATACTATGGCTATGTTATTCAAACAAATTGGCCAGTGCTCAGATCAAGGATTGGGAGCTTATTTACTGGCACTTGATTGGATTTTTTGACAGGGTCTCTTCCTGAGGCACCAGCTTCAAGAAAGCATTATGCTAACAGAGTTGTTGTGATTATTCTATTACTATGTGTAATTCTCACAACTTTGGCATTTCTTGTTTCGTTAACATGCTATTTCTATCGTAAAGACAAGTGCCCAAAATGCCCTATCCAACCGCCAATATTCTCGTCAGACAAAGAAACTAGCTGCAATAGTGCTACCAACTTAATAAGTCATAAGACTTCTTTGGTGTCAGAAACTAAGGTTGACATTGGCTTTCCTACTAAACCGATTGCAGGTATGTAAGCTTTAACATGTTATAACTTCCCTTTCTTGGATGAACTTGATTTGCTTTTAATTGTGATTCAATTACACTCTCAACCACTGTTTGCCCTATTAGCTCTCTGGATTTATTTTCTTTGTTAACCTGGCATACTTCATTTTCATCCTGAACTTGGTTGGGATATGTAAGGCATCATGACGTGTTGTCGATTTCCAGGATGCTTTCAAAAGGCTTCTTTCCTTTGTCGGAGCAAACCAGAGACTATACTTGGAACAATTTGCCAGTTCGCCTACTCTGAACTGGAAAATGCAACCAATAAGTTCTCCAATTCCAACCTAATAGGACTCGGAGGAAATAGCTATGTGTATCGGGGCCAGCTCAAGGATGGAAGAATTGTTGCAGTCAAGCGACTTAAAGCTCATGGAGGCCCTGATGCAGATTCCATCTTTTCAACAGAGGTACAATCTCAACTCTCCTCATTTTTTCTTAAAACAAGAAATTTTATGTTTATGTTGTTCTCAAAAGCACAATAAGGTATTTACGGTGTTGTTTTGCTTAGGTTGAGCTGTTGTCAAGGCTACATCACTGTCATGTGGTGCCCTTGCTAGGCTACTGTTTAGAATTCAGTGGGAAACATGCTGAGAGACTGCTGGTATTTGAATACATGCCTAACGGTAATTTGAGGGATTGTTTGGATGGGATTTTGGGGGAGAATGTGACCTGGGAAACTCGTGTTGCAATTGCTATTGGTGCTGCAAGGGGCTTGGAATATCTTCATGAAGCAGCTGCTCCAAGAATTTTGCATAGAGATGTAAAATCCACAAATATTCTGCTGGACAAGAACTGGAGAGCAAAAGTAAGGAACTAAGGATGAGTACTTATAGGCACCTGTTACAAATACTAAGCTTCAATTTGAAAGAGGAAAAGAACAAAGTATAGCATTGACTAGAATATATTTTATGCAATGTCTGGAGAAAATTAGTAAACAAATAAACTCATATTGAGTAAACTTGAAACTGTAATGATAACATACACTAATTTCTCGAACATTTGTGTGCATTTTGATTTCTAACATAAATACTGAACATGTTCAGATAACTGATCTTGGTATGGCCAAACGTTTAAGAGCTGATGGACTTCCCAGCTGTTCCAGTTCTCCAGCAAGAATGCAGGGCACCTTTGGCTATTTTGCCCCGGAATACGCAATTGTTGGAAAAGCCTCACTTATGTCAGATGTTTTCAGTTTTGGTGTAGTGCTCCTGGAACTGATCACTGGTCGGCAACCCATCCTTAAATCTAAAAATAAAGAAGAAAGTCTTGTCATATGGGTAAAGTAGCTTGTTTCATGTTATTTAAGCAGCGGTTACTAATTTCTCCTTTTTTTTCATGCAATGCTAAAGCACATGGATGATGTAAAACATTTGTCTACACTTTGTCCCATTCAGGCTACCCCTCGTCTAAAGGATAGTAAGCGAGTGACCTCAGAGTTACCTGACCCACGTTTAGAAGGGAATTTCCCAGAAGAAGAGATGCAGATAATGGCTTACCTAGCCAAGGAGTGCTTGTTGTTGGACCCTGATGCTCGCCCAACGATGCGTGAGGTTGTGCAAATCCTCTCAACTATTGCTCCAGATAAATCTAAAAGAAGAAATATTCCTGTAAACTTTTTCCAGGTAATGTTTTTAAATTCGTCTAGAAGTTAATTCACCTTTGGTCTATGATTATCACATATCAATCTCAACACTCAAATAAGTAATGGTCTGTAGTACCATTCAATGAAAACTACTGGTCTCATTCATTGAAATAAAAAGGAAAAAACCTAATAATATGGGGGCCTCCCATGTCTGCTTACCTTTTAGATGAACCCAATAATGTTGCCTGTTTTGCTAACTGTGCAGACGTCATCCACCCATAACATGAAGAATGAAGCTCTTGTAAAAAGACATCAAAGTGTAATTAAGGCTTTATATGATACAGAGGAGCACATGCCAACTACGTCTGTTAAGTCAGCCGAGAGCTCATTGCAATTAGGTATGGATAGTATTGGGATCGTCGGCAAGCAAATAGATACCCTTCCTGCTGAGTGTATGGAGAGGTTGGTTCTTCTGAGTTCCAATGCTAGGAGTTGGCGTGTCCCTGATGATGAAGCAGTAGACTTAACAGAACCTCGGTTTGAATCGTTCCACATGGCAAACGTTAAGTCCCCCTAAGAAAAACTAGATATCCCACTGACTGGATTTACATATTTTCCACACAAGTTAGCATTTTGGTTTTGTTCTGCTGTGTACTAGTAAGAAAGGACATCGTAGAGGAAGTGAGTAGGTTTTTGAGAAAATATCCACTTTTTATTTGTTGGGGGTATTTGAAGAATAGGCCACAAACAGGTTGCTTTAGTACCATTTCATGCGTTTGTAAAGAAAATTATACAAAATTGAAAATTCAAATCAACTGAGGTCCCTATATGATAGGCACACCAATCTTTTTTTTTTCCTCATGGACGTAATTGCCAATACAGTAATGCACACAAAAGCAGTTGATGAGTTGGACTACCTGGTTGCTAAGCAATATATGCTCTAATTCGACACGCAGGAGAATCAGTTCTAATTCAAGTTGCTGTTATGTTGCTCCATCATTTGAGCTTTAACCAGTTAGTTGGCATCAAACATTCAATATTGAAGTCTAAATTGTCTCATTCAATCCATTACACCCAAAAAAAAAAAAATCCTTATCCAGTACAAGTTGACAGAATAATCATGAATGGCATCATGTTTAAGGTCATTTTAAATCATTCCCATCTGGAAGATCCAGTGTAGCAGCTTAAAACGGCAATAATCTTCCTCGTATGGGTTCTTGTCAACTGCTGTAGGTTTCGAACGTCTGGCAAGTCTCACAGCAGTTAGGAGTCATGTGTTAGTTGGGTGTCTACTTTGGCAGACTTGAAATCTCTCTTTGAACGGTAGTTGTTGTATGACTTTGAGAAAGGATGGTACGATTCATCAACATATATAATAAAATCACAGATTTAAGCCTTCTTTCCATGTTCTTATATCACTTCTGTTAAAGTCAGCAATGGATCCACCTCCACCTCCAAGTGCACCGCTGCTAGCTCCGGCTCCTCCCGGTGGAGGGTTTTTGGAATGTTGGTAAGCTGTTCTTAATTTCCAGTTCATGAAGAAACAAAACAGGGTAAAATCTGACATTTCCTTTCTTTATTTTCTTGTCTCCCTTTCTGTTTGCAGTTTGTGGTTCCTATGTTGTTGCGGTGTATTTAGAAGCTGCTGCCCTCCACTCTTTGAGCCTGGGCCTCCTCTTCCTTAGAGCTGCACTTCTTTAAGGAATAGAAAAAGAGTTAATTGAAGTTTTCCTTTTGTTTTGCCTATTCATTTAGCTACTTGACATGACTTTGAAACATCCTTGGTTTCTTTTTTTCTTTTCAATTGCGTATTCATGAGGGTTGAAACTTGTTGGAACTGATTCTACTTGTTGTCATTCGTCTCATTGTTATAATGCTGAGATTACAGTTTTAAAATGTAAGAATTGTATCTTCTCATAATTATGCCTTGAATAATAGACTTTCACTCAAGCAGATCAACTCAGCCAAAGATTGTTGGCTTGATTCCACTTCCATGCGTGAACAACTGAAGCAAGAGACATGCCTTATGAGTTATGATAATATAATTTTAGTGAACCCGAGTTCATGCAGCCACCTTGGCATAAAAAGTTACAACTAAAGCAAAAACTGCGATCTTTTTTGTAGTTGCGTCATCAAAACTATGGCTTCTTTTCTCCCAGTTTCTCCATAACCAAACAAAGGATAATGAAAGGGTAATTGCGTCATCAAAGAAAGGTACTGAAATATCACTGCAACGACACCGTTTAGAGGAGTAATAAACAAGTAGGACTAAGTATTGGTTTTCGCCTTCAAAACGCAGCGTCTTGACCTGGCAACAGAAACAATAAAACCTGGAAAACTTGAAAATGGAGCGGAGCTGTGACTGAAACTAAAACAGAGGAGTCGAGGAGAAACAAGAAGAAGAAAAAACATGGCCGCAAAACGTTTCTGTTCATTATCTTTTTTATCTTTTGTTTCTGGGTTTTCCTTTTCGGGTTTAATCTTATCATGGTAATAGGTAATTGGGTTTAAAGTTGAAAACTTTGTGTTTCATTTAGATGTTAGTAAGTTGTCTCTTGACTCTTTGATAATCATGCTTAAGAAAAAAATTTCCTTTATACTTTTGTGTTTCTCTGTCTGTTAGTGTGGTTCATTCATGGGGTATGCTTAATTATTGCATCATTAAAGGGCTTGTCTTTGTTCTTATTCTCTGTTTTGTTATGTCCAGCTGCGTGTTATGTTTGGAAATAGGCTAGTTTTCCTCATTGCACTCTTGAAAAAGGGCATTAAAATGAGTAGTTAAGTGGTTTTTCTTCTTCGTGTTTTGTAATTACTTGTGCCAGTATGCTCTCTATCTTTGGTTCTGGGGCTCCTTTCTTATTTTTATGTAAAGTTGGAATGTTCATGCTTTATGATAAAAGAGAGAATGAAGTTTCCATAGTTGCTTAGTGGGTGTCATCAATTCCTGTTACTACCACGATATATTGATTTTCTTACAGTATTTAGGCATCTAAAGCTAAGAAAGATGGATTCTTATAGAAAATTTATGGCTCATTCTTCATATCCTCTTTTACATCGATATTTCTTGGATTTTGATGTGCTGAATTGAAATGAATCCTCAAACGTTGGTGAATTGCAGTTTTCAGGACAGGTGCCGTTAATTCTGCTTCTGATCTGCTTATGCGGCTTTCGAAAAGACCAAGGTCATCATGTCTATGTGAGTATATCATCTGTGTTAAAATATTCTTCTTGATATCTATTTTTGAGATTTTACATCCCTATGCTTTCTTTAGTAAAATTTTCTTTCAAACACTGATAGATTTTTTTGTGATTATTCTACATGTTCTCATTTAATTGGTCTTGAATATTTTAGATTTGGGCCGAGAGAAGTAAGAAAGCAATGATGTACAGTGACATTGGGTGATTAAATAGTAATGTCAGCTATACAAACATTGCCACTCCAGATCGAGGAAAGATATGTGAGATGACCAAAAGTGTGAATTTTTTGAGGTGCTATTAGATTTTATCCATAACATATTTGATCTAATCTTTTTATCTCCTTTTTAATTCTTTTCTCCAATTTAGATGATTCTATTTCTTGATCGCTCTTTCCTTAGGAATCCGACCACAAAGAGTTTTCATCAATGCTTTATAAAGCTTTGGAAGGTGCAATGATGTTGGAAACATTCCCCAAGACGACCGTGGATGTTTTTGCATTGGTGTTGGAATCTGGGGGCATTAAGTCTTCCTATTGATATTTATTAATTAGGCTTCAAGTTGGCCTGTTATTCGTTCTGGTAGAGGTTCTTTTTTCTGTGGCTTTCTTTCAGCCCTTATGCTGGGATGTGGCTAGTGGTTCATTAGAAACAAATATTGACATTAGCAAGAATACTTTGCTCAGTTGTTATTTTCCAAACTTGGTTGTAAATGATGATCCACTAGCATAGCAGATGATTTTCAGTTTTTTATACTGTGTGAATTAGTTTATCAATAGGTTCTATCCACACTCTTTTGTAAGTTTCTTAATCAAATTTCTCAAATTTTCTCACATTTCTTAACCTGTCTATTTTTTAGATCCTTCTTGTGCCCTCTCTTATAAATTTGGTTCTCAGTTTTTTACAACTGGTTATGTTTCAAATCATGGTGATTTTAGTGAATAAGTTATCATAGATATTTAATAATACTGTAGATGATTGTAGAGTGCTGAAAGCTTAATCTTTATAATCCTGACGAAAATTCTTATGGGCTATGGATATGCCCTAAACTCTTATATTGCCATTTGTTGATAAGCTTCGTAACATGGGTTGCAAGTGATCTTCCTGTTGTCAAATCATGTGCTAGTCTAGCCCTTGCAGATGCAGGGATAATGATATATGACCTTGTTGCTGTAGTTTTTGTGGCAAGTTTCTTTGTGTATGTTTTACACTCGAGGATTAAGCATTATGATCATTGTGCACGTATAAATTTGAGCAACTCTTTCCTGCACATTTGCATTCATTTCACTTTGCTTCAGTTCAGGTTGGATGCTTTTTTATGCACTGCCCTTGCTATCTGCACTACTAAATATTACAAACCTGGTAATATTGATGCTGTGGTAGTGCCAATATATGAGTTACACGCCAACAAATTCGGTCTTATACTTAATGTAGCAGGTGGTTGACATTCTTTAAGAAGAAAGTGGGATTGATAATGAATTGCTACAAATTGGAAAATTAGCAGCTGCAGCATCAATATTCAGAAGCTTGTCCTTTTTTGCATGAACATGATGCCATTCTTCAAATTCCTCACCACACCCATGATAGAGTGGATTTGTCCTTTTTAACCTTGAAGACTGATGCAGAATGCTTAGTGATTTCTACTATAAAGAACCTTCTCTTCTCACTTACTACTTTCTGCGCTGATTCATAAGCTACCAAGATGGAAGCTTAATGCTTTCATGTATGCCTTCTTGTTATGAGATCACTCAACTAACTTTTACAGGAGAACCGTCAACCGCATATATTAATGAGGTATGTGTTTCGATATGTACATGTTTGTCCTTTTTGACTTGTATGTTAGCTCCATCAAGATTTTATGAAAACTATTAAGTCCTGCAAAGCAAAATGCTATATTTATGGGGGTAAGTAACAGTTCTAATATTGCTTCTATATACAGGCAATGCAGCTTTGCCTTGATGCTTGCAATAAGCTTGGTAGAGTAATGAGGTCATGCTTGAAGGAAGCTGCATCTGCTTCACAATAGTGGAAAGAAGATGCACATCTTAATCTTGTTTTCCCAATACAATCTTTCTTTTTCCTTTTTGACCTTTTCTTCAGTAACTTATGCAGACTTTCAGAGAATTTTGTTAATGAGTTGAGTTATTTCCCCTCATTTTTCAATGTTTTTTAGATGCTGACAAACCATCAATCCTCAGGTTTTTATCCGGTGATTGTGTAACTTAGAAACAAATCATATGACTATCAATTAAACTAAGAAAAAACTATTGCACTTCATAAAAAAAAATGCTTTACTTTGAATTTAATTCAACGAAGAAGATTATTATTGTCGGAAACAGTAAAAAAAAAAGAAGGAAAAAAAGAAACTTCTATGACCAACGTCTTGCAGTTTTAACTTACCGTGGATCACTGGACAAACACGTGTGAAGATTCTATGGGCATGCGTATCTAACGAACGTAAAAAGAACCATCTTCTGGTTTCTGTTTTCAGGTTCATTTGTTTAAAGCCTTTGGACAAACTCATATGGTTCTGTCTCTCTTGTCTTGTCCTTCTCATTAATAATTTGATTATTATAAAATTCAGCAAAGTAAAACAGGATTTTATTTTTGTCTTTTTCCGTCAATGCTTTCGTGATAAAAAATTCATAGGAACTCTGTCACTTTCTCAGAATTCTTTGGTTTTTAAGTTACTAACTTGCTAATACAAACCCCGTCAATTTCGGGCGAGCATAACGAGATGGGTATCTATTCATTATTCTAACATTGGAAAGTGTTGTTTAAACTTCCATTTCCAGGTTATTAGAACTTATTTTAAATCATTTTTATGAAAGAAAGAAACAAGTTTCTGGGGTTGCTCTTTTCATTCTTAGAGATCATCATCAGATCAGTTGGAAACTGAATTAAGAGAAGAAGAAAACTGAGTTTCAGGATTTGACATTGTTTGGCCTTATGTTTCGGTGGCAACCGGCAATGTTATTCCCTGTATGTTAGAATCAGTATTAAAGATCAAAGTTTTGTCTGTTTAGAATCATATTCCATTTAGCTCTGCTTTATTGACTTTTATTCTCTTCCAAGTGGCTCAGACTTCCTTTAAAATCAATAAAATTAAGAAAAGAATATCTATGGTTGTTGTTTTCTAGTCATGGTCAATGTTTTTATCTTCCATGTTTCTGTTAGAATCTTGCTCATCAAATTTCTAAACCATTTTTTTGTTTTTTTTTTTTTTTTTTGGATTGAATGTTTATGGCTATTTGATATATTTTCCTGCTTCATCTCATTACTGACATTATGGAAAATCTAACATTTTTTCTATGATCTGAAAGAGCCCATTATGAGGACTTTAAATTAACAAATTGTCACATGTTTTGACCAGCTCTTTTCGCCTAAAAGGAGGGGGGGGATGGTCTTTAGAGTTGCTTCATGATCAAGCTGAATTATCTTTCATGCCATTAAGTCACATGATTCCTGGTTCGAGAAAATATTGAAAGGCCTTTTCTGCTCTTGTGGTTTAAGCTCTTGCGACTTGCCTAGTCAACATTAGTTGATTTATGACCAGATATCTATAAACAGTTGTTTTAGGCCCTGTTGTAAACTTCTTTGCCTTTCTCTCTTGTCCTATTACAGATCCAATCTAATAGCTGAAACAACATTGGAAGCAAAGCCATGGGGTATGGTAATTCAAGATCCGTAAGGTCCGTTCCATCTTTGTTCTTTAATGTCTCTATTAAGATTTCTCATATGATTTCAATTTCATATATTCCCATTAGCTCTGCTTTTATATAAGTTAATAGTTCAAACCAGCAATGAAACAATCATTGATTAGTGGCTTCATGTATATTTTCAGATTTCAGGATGATCTCGAATCAGCAAAGCTCCCCACAATCAATGGAGACGGTATGATAAAGTTGAAATACAATATTAACGGAACGCAAAAATCGGAGTCTAGCACCAAGAGGGCTAAGAAGGAGTTGCCTAGTAGTAGGGCAGGAAAATCATTGAAAGCTAAAGTACTGGCCAGAGTTTTCTCTGAGGACTTTGAGAGAGTGAAGAGGAAAATTTTGGATCCTCGAGGACCAATTATTCGCCGATGGAACAAGATTTTTCTAGTAGCATGCTTGATTTCTTTGTTTGTGGATCCTCTTTTCTTTTATTTGCCAGTAGTTTGGGAGGAAGTCTGCATTGATATTGGAATACCACTTGAAGTTATCCTCACTATACTTAGATCATTGGCAGATGCCTTCTATATAATTCAGATTTTCATTCGATTCCGGACAGCTTACATTGCACCTCCTTCTCGTGTATTTGGGAGAGGAGAGCTTGTTATAGATTCCAGGAAGATTGCTTCCAGGTACCTTCAGAAGAGTTTCTGGATTGATTTAATTGCTGCCCTCCCACTTCCTCAGGTATCTCATGATGAAACTGATATTGGTCTTTTCATAGTACTTTGATGGATTCAATGCGTAAAATAAAAGGCATTAGTTACTTTCATTTATTCCAGGTTTTGATTTGGATCATCATTCCCAATCTTAAAGGTTCAACAATGACAAACACCAAAAACGTGCTCCGGTTCATAATTGTTTTTCAGTACCTTCCAAGACTCTTTCTTATTTTTCCACTCTCATCACAAATTGTCGAGGCAACTGGTGTTGTGACAGAAACAGCATGGGCAGGTGCTGCTTATAACCTGATGCTCTACATGCTGGCAAGCCATGTAAGTGATTAACCGTAAAAATTTGTTCACTGATATGCCTGAGCAGCAATAAATCCCTAACAATGTGTGGCATGAAAAAAAAATTCATTGTGCTTATTTGTATTTTTCTTAAAAAGGTTTTAGGAGCTTGCTGGCACCTTCTTTCAATAGAAAGGCAAGAAGCATGCTGGAGAAGTGCTTGTGATCTTGAGGAGTCATCTTGTCAATATAAATATTTTGATTGTCATAGGGTTAAAGACCCTGGCAGGGATACCTGGTTCAGGTCGAGCAATATTACTAGCCTATGCAGTCCAAGTTCCACCTTCTATCAGTTTGGTATATATGGTGATGCATTGACATTTGATGTCACAACCTCACCATTCTTCAACAAGTACTTTTACTGCCTTTGGTGGGGTTTAAGGAACTTGAGGTAAATTGTTTCCCCAGAAATTCTCATTTTCATATAAATTATCCTTTTTTTTTAATTAACAAAGAAAAATTCTTTAAGCACCAGTAGATTGACCTGATTTCACTGATTAATTTTTTTTTATGTTAGAGCTAACACCAGAAAGACAGATTGCTTAAATTCTAACTGTCTGTGTCTTATGTGCAGTTCTTTGGGTCAAAATCTTGGCACAAGCACTTATGTTGGAGAAATAAATTTTGCCATCATTATTGCGACTCTCGGGCTGGTTCTGTTTGCTCTGCTCATCGGGAATATGCAGGTAAGAGATGTCTCTAAACCATTGTTCTTTATGCACTTATTTAAAATTTAAGCACATAGGCTGTATCATATGCCCTGAGACAAGATTCAAGTAAGAATTCTTGAGGCTAAACTTCTAAGGTTCACACCCCAAGTCAAGAGGGCCATATCTCACACTATGCTAACTCAAATCTTGGACATCATCTTGGAGTCCCTAGAAAATTTGATGTCATGACTTGACATCTTATATTGTTGGTAATTCTGATATCATATGTCACTGGCAGACATACCTTCAATCGACAACTGTTAGGTTGGAAGAATGGAGAATCAAGAGAACTGATACAGAACAATGGATGCGTCATAGGCAGCTTCATCCTGAGCTAAGGCAATCTGTCAGAAAATATGATCAGTATAAGTGGCTAACTACAAGAGAAGTTGATGAAGAAACTATACTCAGAGGCCTTCCCTTGGATCTACGGAGAGACATCAAACGCCACCTCTGTCTTGACCTTGTTCGACGAGTAAGTCATCAGACTCAACATTTCTAATTACATTACCACAGTAACTCATTCTAATGACATTCTTGTAGTTGAGGTAAGACTTCATGCTATTCATTGGCTACAATTAGCAATAAAGATGATATGTGACTTCCTTTATTACATCAACAGGTACCGCTGTTTGATCAGATGGATGAAATGATGTTAGATGCAATCTGTGAAAGGCTTAAACCTGCCTTGTGCACCGAAGGCACATTCCTAGTCCGTGAAGGTGATCCTGTCAATGAGATGCTCTTCATAATTCGAGGCCACCTTGATTCTTACACTACGAATGGTGGTCGTACTGGATTCTTCAATTCATGCCAGATTGGCCCTGGAGACTTCTGCGGTGAGGAACTGCTGACATGGGCCTTGGATCCTCGTCCTAGTGTCATCCTCCCATCTTCAACTCGTACGGTCAAAGCAATATCAGAAGTAGAGGCCTTTGCTCTTAGAGCGGAAGACCTCAAGTTTGTGGCATCACAGTTTAGAAGACTACATAGTAAACAACTCAAACACAAATTTCGGTTCTACTCACACCAATGGAGAACATGGGCTGCCTGTTTCATACAAGCAGCATGGCGTCGGTTTAAAAAACGAAAGGAAACAGCTGAACTTAGAGCTAAGGAGAACCTCACGGCTGCTGGGCCTGAACCAACCGCACCTGGTTCAGGCTTGGCTATGTATGCAGCCAGGCTAGCAGTTAGCACTAGGAGAGGTGTTAATATGCATTCTGGATCTGATTCTGGTGTTGTCAGCTCCTTGCAGAAACCAGCAGAGCCAGATTTTTCTGTAGATGAGGAATGAATGGTAACACTCAAAATCGGGATCTAGTGTGTAGGTATCTAAATTTGTTTATTTCTTCACTAAGCTGTAAACAAAAGTGGACATTGAGATTATTTTTTCAATATTTATCTATATACAATTTACCAATTTGGATTGTGGATAGAAGATGGAAGCAGATGATTTTCTGTTTTTCAAACTTCCTTCAATTTGCTGCAATTTTAAGTGATGAACATTTAGCTCACATAGTGCCTGACTGCCTGTTAAAAGGATCTCTCTTGTAGCAGTTAAAAAGATCTCTCTTGTACCTACAAGGAAAATTTAAAAAACATAATGTGTTCTGGTATTCCTTAATGACAATAATGATCAATGGGCATTGTGAACCTTCTTCCCTTCACCCGTGGGCTACTCGATAACCATCAACTTCTAGGACCAAGGAAGCAGGACCACTTTTATTGGGTTCAAAAGTGGTTCACATGCAGCTCAAAGGGAGCCACTATCATTAGATTTGGCCACCAGAGTCCATGAGTTGATCATCCAGCTCCTTCTAGCGAAATTGGTCCCATGGATTTTAAGGGAATAAAAAGGAAGTCCTGTGGTCACACTTTTCTTTTTTGGAGGACAGACAAGTCAATGGGAGAGAAAGTGAACAGAAATGTTATAGATTTGTATAAAGCTAAACGCAGCCAGCCAAAGAAATTGCAAGGAAAATGACAGAAAAATCTGACTACTTTAATAAAAAGCTACGCTTCTCCTTCAAAGTTCAACAAGTTCCTAGTACATACATTTCAATTCCACAGTTACACTTTAGCTTGACATATGTATTCGTAAAAGTGATCTAGCTGAACAAAAGGCAAACCAAAAAACAGAATTAAATATGAAAGTGTGAGCTCCATAATTATGATCAAACTTTAGGTGCCCATATTCTTTGACTTGGGTAACTTTCCCAGCCCTTTAAAGTAGCAATTTCTTTTCCTGGCGAATGGGATGATCAAAACAATTCTAAATGCAAAAGTTAAATAATTAATTTATATAATCAGCATTTTATCGGTTTAAAATTTAAATTTCAATGTCTGTAATTTTTTTATTTTTAAACTGTTAAATTTAAACGAAAAAACAATGTTTTCTTCTTAGTCCTAAGATTCAAACTTAAAACTTTCAAAATATTTCTTCATTATATTAAGCTATTGTTCAACAGTTAGGAATTCCACTTTATATATATATATATATATATATATATATAAAAGTAGACACATTGATGGAGTAAAAAAAATAAATTTACCTGTGAAAGAGGGACATTTATCAGTACTGTAACAAAGAAACAGAATTGGCCCCAAGAAGTTGGTCAGAGTCCCACATTCCTCTGACAACAGTAACACCCAAAGCCAATAGGAAGAATTTATGGGCCCATGGCCTTTATCATACCCCAAGCAATTACTTTTGATATGGGCTTAGTCATTAGAGATGGACCCACTTTGACCACTGGCCTTGGCTGGAGCTTCTTCAGTTTGAAGTGGTCTAGGCAAAATTTAGAAAAAGCACAACAATTAGTATAGTTTTTGCATCAAAAGTAATTGAATATTTCAAAAGTGAATTAGAAACATAAGCTTTCCAATGAAGCAAAGTAGCTAGAAAAATCAATGATTCAAAGAAAGTACTAGTAATTCTTTACCTTTCGGGTCACTTTGATGTTCCTTAAAAATGACAACTTGAGTTTATGAGTTATTAAAGCCAAATTCATTGGAACAATTCTCTCTAGGCGCCCTTAATTATGTTCTTTGACCATTGAAAAATGAGCAGCCCAACAGAGAGGGAAGTCCTAAAAAATTATATTAAAAAGAGAGTTATTGACTTAACCTCCTCTAAAATATTTTTTTTTATGCTGAAGATTTAATCCGTCGATGTTGAACAAATTTTTAGTAACGTGAAAAAACCAAATTTCTTACTGTTCTTTCCCTTTAAAGTGTGAAACTTCTTTTCAACCATTCAAATTCAAATTACATTACAATTATACTATCTATTTTCACATTCTTATTCTTCCATTTACAGTTTAAGTGTGTTGACTGTGTGACTGTATAACAAGTTTGAATTAAAAATGGATATGGGAATTTTACCCTTTTATTTTTATTTTTCCTTAGAGTCTCAGATATATACAACAAAAGAAGAAATAATTACAGGAACAACTATGGAGATAGCTATCTACCAACAAAGAATAATAGTGTTGGATTTGTTGTTGTAGTGACAGGCAAACAAACTCAAGTGGTAATCCCATAAATGTTTCGTTGGCAGCTGAAAAATTCGTTGTCATGGGATTCTGACTCAACTCGAATGCAGCCATTTTAACTTTCACAGGCGTTCATGGATATGGAGTCCACAAAAAAATGGTTGCAGTTCCCCATAGGACTGCACTTGGATTGGCCAAATTCCCCACCATTTTCCTTTTGCTATTCAGCAATATTTTCAAACACAGTCTCGAGTTGTCTAGCTAGCATGTCGTGCAATGCCATCAAACTGCAAATTTTTGACAGGTTGTGACTTGATCGATGGTTTTGAAAGACAAGACTTCGGACATTCTCTTTGTTTCACAATGATATTGATTACTCATTATGTTTCTTTGATCTAGATATAACCAATCGGAAAAACCAATTGAAAGGTGACTTACAGCAAGACGTAAGTATTTTTTATGAAATAAAATCGTAAGATTCTTACATTAAAATGAATAATATATCGTACAAATTGAATATAAATCTCTACATCTTTAGAATCTCTAGATTTAGGATTGAAGTGTTACAAAAAGTTGTCAAAATTCTTTTGAAAACCCTCACACTGTCTCAAAACCATGTGAGAAATTCAACGGTCCAAGCACCGAAATTATTAAAACGAGGGCATAAGTATAAAGCCCCAGCAGTAAATTGCATGCTTAAATTTTTATCAGTTAGAAGTTTTGACCCTAATCATTCCAATGAATTGCATCTTTTATTCCATGCATGCTTCGAGAATCTGTTAACTTCAAAGTCAAGTATCAAAAAAGTTGAAATCAAGTTAATAATCCTAGATCATAATACCCTATTAATTTCCTTTTAGGACGTGCCTTAAGATTATTCAGGTAGGTTCACTATTACAAGTTTGTAACATTATTCATGAAACTGCCCTTTTTTTTTTTTTGAATCATCGATGAACTGTCATTAGATGAAGCTACGATTTCCGTGATGGGGGCATTTGAAAATGGTGTGATTTTTAGTCAGTTATTGAATAAGTAGCCTTGGAGACAGACTATAATACCTCAGTAACATATCGAAATATTCTGAAAATTTATTATATAAATAAAATTTTAAATTTAAATTTGTGATATATTTTTTAAAAGATAAAATAATAAAATTTTTATATTAAAATAAATAATATCTTACAGATTAAATATGAATCTCTATAAAAATAAAGTCTTTTAAGTTTTAAGGGAGAACCAAAATAACGAAGCAACAACTCATCATTTGATGCATGTTTGGGTGTCCTTTTTTTTGAATGATCCAAAATGGTCGGCGAATTCTCCTCTGATACTGATCATTTCTTAATTTCAAAGCGGAGATAAAATCAAAGAGAAAGAAAACCAAAACAATTCCCTTTCATGGAATTTGAAATTTGGAACCAAAGACTAGTACTAGTTCATACTCGGTCAACTTTTTGGCCAAGTGGTAAAGCAAGTTCAAAGAATAATAAAATATATTTCAACTACTTTGAATGATTGATCACACTTAAAATATATTAAGCACATTTTTCCTTTTTCAATTGGTAGGCTGCGCAGTTTGTAACTCTCTTCCATTTCCATAATTTCTCAAATCTTAAATGAAATCAAAATTCAATTTCATGTTTATCAGTTGATTGACTTAGCTAGCTGATTCCTTTTGCCATAAATCTGCTAAATATTAGTAATTAACATGTTGTAGATGGGAACTTCTCCTGTAATATTATAGACCTGACAATATAAAAATACGATATGATGATATAATACAAATGTTATACGAAAAAAAATATAAAAGTGATAGTTTAAAATTTTTATAATAATTATATATGGATTTAATAAAATAAAAAAATATATATTTTATATTTTCATATTAATACGAATTTTGACATGTAAATTTCATATAAAACATTATAAGAATACATAAATTTAATATTTATACAATATGAATACACAAATTGCCAAATTTACACAATAACATACAATTTTAATAAAAAAAAAACCCAAATTTTCTTTTTCAAACAACTCAACTTATTGTTTTTTAAATTACTATCTAATAGGGATGTTTTTAAATTTTATTTGAATTTAATTTTTTTCAAGCGATTTTAAGGATTTACCTTGACATCAATATGATGCAATATTCAAAGTTTTATTTTTGGTTTTTTTTATTAATTAGATTCTTTGGGTGTTAAAGAATGTCAAAATGTGCCAAAAGCATCCATGACTAATCCAAATCAATTTTTCCTTTTCCCTTTTTGGGAGGGAATTTGAAATGGGCGGCATTGTTTGTCTTGTGAAGGGCTTTTCACCAATGTACAAGTTGCCATTTATGCTGCCAACAAAGCCATGTTAATTTTGAACGAAGAGTCACATGCAAAGATGATAATTAAGCCACACAGTTTAATTACTATTATATACACAAATTCCGTATATAAATTTGCATCTCTAATTCTCCATATTTTTTCTGCATTTCCACCTTTGATTTATATGGTTAAACCTAGCTTTCTTTTTTCTTTTTCTATGATGTTGAAATGGGAAGAAAATAACCAGACGCCTCAGGAAAACAATGTGACATTCCATTTTTCTCATTCGACGAATCAGAAGTCGCAGCCTCGCCCTTGTTTTCCAGATTAAAAGAGCTTGTTTGTCAAAGTTGAAAACCACTAGACCTCTCCCCTTTCCAAGTAATTGCTCACTTTTTTTTATCATACAATTATTTTTAAAAGATATCATTTAATAATTTTAAAATTCGAATCTTAATATTTATAACTTTTTTTTTCATTTTCAAGCTGCAACTTCTTATATGTTAAAAAAAATAACTAATCACCAAATAATTTCGTTAATTTGGTTATTATTAATTGATTGAATCGAGCATCTGCTGACTAATCTCTTACATGGCACCCAAAACCTTGGAAAGAAGAAGATACACACTTGATTACGTACTAACTTTTTAGCCACTTTCACTAATGCAATATCACTAATTGAAGAGTTAAATTAGCTTAATCAACTAAACAATGTTTAAGCTTGATTGAGAAATGATAAGTGATCAATGATGTAAGAATCTCTCCCTAAGCAACTTGCACACGTAAGTAAGCACTTGAAAAACAAGATATATCAATGGATAAATATTGCATAGAGGGGTGGGCTTGTTGGTGGCTTACAATAAGCAAGAAATCCCATCATTAAGACTTGAGAATCGAGAATTAGTATCCATCATATGATGGTTTAGTAAGATGTGTTTAAAGTCAAGAAAGCAACAAAGATTCTAATAGTACTTTTGAATGCCGGTGTGAGATAAGGAATTTTTTTTTTTTTTTGAGAAAAAAAGAATTAAAATTAATATGAAACCTTAGACCAACCATGATCAATAGATATCAATAAAAGCAAATGCAAGGCTATCAGTCTGGTAAGAATACATATACCAATGATAAAGATGGTTTAATTTTACGACAAAATAATAATAATAATAAAAGATATTAAAATATTATTTCAAATAAGGGATCTAATTGGTTGAGATGGTAAAAGCAGACTACTTTACTTGAAAGATTTAGATTTAATTTTTGGTGTCAATATTATTTATTGATAGAATATTTATAAATTCAATGTATGTACTTATTGAG